AGGACCCTGCTTAATGGGCAGAGCAATGTCAAATGTCACAGACCTGCCACTTCACCATATAGCTGATACAGTTTAAGTTAGGCTTCAGGTATATATCCTGTTGTACTGTGGTAATGAGGGCCTATGCTGTTGAAATGGGCCCACACAGGTCTATGCAGGGGTGAAAGGCATTCAAAGTCCATGGACCCCTTATGCCTGTGCCTAGACAAAGGAGCTGTGCCTACCCTGAGTTCCTGGCTTAGGGGAGCCGGCAGATTATTTTTTCCTGTTTGTTAATGTGTTCCCTCTCCAAGCCCGGGAAAATGATTCAGCGTGCATAACGGGTCCTACTTCCAGCCCAGGGAACTTGGCAGTCGCTGTAGCTGGCCCAGGACCTGATGGCAGAGTGGGGAGGGGGCAGGTAAATGGGAGAGAGGTTTTTCCCAAAAGGGGTATTTTTTGATCTGTGGGATAGGTCGGATGAATGTACTTATCTTTTGCTGATTGATCACTGCTTTTCACTGGTTCTGGATGCCTGAGTAGACTGTCTGCCGCTGGGTCTCTCCTGATGTGGCAAATGCCTCCTGACTGCCACTGCTTGCCTCACCGCGCATGCCACTGATCTGGCCTAAAGTGTGCCAGCTCTTACCGGGTGAGGTCTGGCAACTTCTCGTTGCTTCTGAACCATCTGTCCCTCCCCCTGCCGCTCAGTCCAATCCCTCAACTTTGCCTTTGATGTTCAGGGCTCCTAGATTGTCATGTATAATCGATTCACTTATTTTTTCAGGTCTTTGTTGTAAGAGGGACCGCGGGATGCATCTGACTACTCTGCCATCTCGGCCCCACCTTTTACAATTTCCCAATCTTGTTTTATCTGTTCTACCTCCTACTACTGTCTTTTTTAGAGGGGAGAGGAGGCCTGGAATAGTTTAAAATAAATCCCAAACATCATATCATTTTTCTTGTACATTGCTAATATATTGATCTGGGACCTCCCCTCCCCCCTCATGTCATTATCTATCTAAAAACATTAACAATGTTTCCTTCAAATCAAGGGAACCCTCATGGTGAAGTGGTTAAGCATTCAGCTGCTAACCTAAGTTCAGTGGTTCAAACCCACCAGCTGCTCTGTGGGAGAAAGATGTGGCAGTCTGCTTCCGTAAAGATTTACAGCCTCGAAAAACCTATAGGGCAGTTCTACTCTGTCCTTTAGGGTCACCGTGAATCAGAATTGACTTGACGACAACGAGTTTGGTTTTGGTCTTTCAAATCATCTAATACCCTGGCTGTTTTTTAAAAATGCCTTTTTACATTAGTTTGACTCTGAATCCGAACAAAGTCTACACATTGTATTTGGTTGATATGTCTCTTAAGTCTTTTAATCTATGATTGTCTCCCACCTTCTTTTTCTCTTTTTGCCATTTATTTGTTGAAGAAACTGGGCCAGTTGTCCTTAGATCCTTTTTATTTTCTGCTCTGAGAAATTGGCGCTTAGAGAGGGCTTGGTGAGCCCAGCTGTGCTGGTGGGAGTAGAGATGTGTTTAGTATTTCTGCGAAGCTCTTTGTCAACATATATTAATAACCTTAAAAACTACATATTGTTGTCCCAGAAACTTCTATTCTAGGAACTGATTCTAAAGGGGATAGTCTGAGATGTAAAAAGTCTTCTTGTACAAGGATGTTAATCTCAGCATTGCCTATAATAGAGAAAAATTGGGCGTGATCTAACTGATCAACAATAAACCCTATGATGTCGAGTCAATTCCGACTCATAGTGACCCTATAGGACAGAGTAGAACTGCCCCTGTAGAGTTTCCAAGGAGCAGCTGGTGGATTCGGACTGCTGACCTTTTGTTTAGCAGCCGAGCTGTTAACCATGGCAGGACCAGGGCACCAATCAACAATAGAGGGATTAATTGAATTAAAGTGTATTCAAACAATGAAGTATTATGCAGCTATTAAAATGATATTTATTAGAAGTAGATACTGATGGGGGAAAATGGTTACCACATAATGTTAAGTGAAAAAATCTGGTTATAAACTTGAGTATCTTGTGTGGTCTTGACTGTTTCCAAATATGCACATGTGAAAGGACTAGAAGGAAATACCCTGAATGTTAACAGTTGTTGCCTCAAAGTTGTGGAACTGTGGATGGTTATTGGGTTCTTAACACATTGTGATGTTTTCCAACTTGGGGGCTTATGAGATTTTTAAAGAGCTCTAGGAGGAGAAAAATAGGCAGACAGAGAGAACACACATAGTATTTCATCATTTCATCCTGGGACAGAACTGATGAAGATACATCTCCATGTAAGTGCCTGAATTTTCAGGAACCTTTGATAAAATGGACGCCTTGAATCCTGAGCAGATGGTTTAAAAGCACAGTAAAAACAATCATGAGAGAGCCCACTGTGGAATATCTTTAGGATCATTTTGAATCTCAGAGTCACTCAAGGCAGTATAGCAGAGTGGGTGAGACGAGGGTCCAAGCCTGGCTTGTCTACTGTCTTCAATAAATTTCTTCACGGCTCCCTATCTCAGTTTACTCATGCATAAAATGGTTATCAAAATCATAGTACCTAACTCTTGGGTTGTTGTGAAGATTAACTAAGTTAATACATGGAAAACTTGACCTAGCATATAGTACATGCTCAGTAAATTAGCTATATAGAATTTACTCCTTACTTTGCAGTTGAGGCCCAGATAGACATAAGGTTTGCTCAGGGTCACACAGCTCCCAAGTGGTTGAATAGGGGTGAGAGTCTTGGTCTCTGGACTTTCTGTCCTTGTTCTTTTCACTTCCACAACCACCCATCTTCAGCAAAGCCCACAGTGGTCCAAATGAGGTCACTCCATGTCTGAGGACAGACTGTATATCAGAATTTTTTAGAGAACATATGAAGAACGTTGTCCTTAAAATGAAATAATAGATTTCAAAATCCGTGTTTGTGGAACACTTTTAGGAAAAGATAAAACCGATTGTCAAGTCTGTGTGACTTCAGATGCCATGGCTTTCCCACTGGTCATTTAGCTAATAGTTACCTGGGAGCCTATTACCTGCCAAGTGTGGGGGACACAGCCACTCACCAGACCAGACAGTGTTATCAGAGCTCAGCAGCTCCCTGTCCCAAGTACACTTTGACCAAGTTTTAACCACATCTTCTTGTTTTAGGCTCAGAGAGGATGTGTGGGGAATGAAAGGACAGGCTGGTCCCAAAGGAGAAAAGCTTTGTGCTGTGGTTGTTCTGGAGGACAGACTGGCTCCCAGTCAAGTGCCCTGAGCATTTTATTTGTGGTTAATTTAGTCATTCTGATCAAGGTAATCCTAGGAGCTGCGAGAGGACTGAGCCCGACAGAGATGGAATTGAGAGTCTGGGAGAATCATGCAAACAGCATGGGGCTGTGTCCTGGCTGGGTCTCGTCTCCTTACCAACTGGTAACCTTGGCCAAGTCCCTTGACATCTGCAGGCCTCAGTTTCCCCACATGGGATTGGAGGGTCCTTTTGACTCTGGTGCTCTGTGTCTGAGCTCCAGTCACTGCCCCTGATTTTCTTCCTGGGAAAGTGTGGGGCAAACCAGAGCTTCAGAGGCCCACAGACCTGGGTGTACGTATTACCTGTAGGACCCCGGGCAAGTTCTTTACCATTTCTTTGCTCCAGTTTCTTCATCTGTAAAATACGGATGGTGATGACAACCCCACAGGGCAGTAGTCAGGGTAAAATGAGGTGATAGTTTATGAAAGACTTTGATGTCGGTCACCATAGAAAGACAAGAAATTCCTCTTACTGAGACAACTGCTCATGTGAAACTATGCAAAGGGGGTATGCTCACGGCCCCAGGAACCCCATATCCTGGGAGGCCCTGCCCAGGGTCTGCTCTGGCCACAGGCAGCAACTCAGCCGCCTCTGGGGACCCTTCCTCTCTCCTCTCTGGCCCTAGTTCTCTGTCCCACCTCACCTCCCCCAGGGCTGCCTAGGGAATTGTTTGACTGTGGCACCCCCCACCCCTTCCCAGGGCAGACAGGGTTCCCTCTTTGGTGCCTTCTGAGTCTGCCTGCAGGGTTTATAGGGAAGAGAGAGGGCTGGGGGCCTGGGGAGGGGTTCCTTACTCTTCTCTGCCTCTGGCCACCTCAGTGGCTTTTTTGGGGGAAAATGGACTTCAGGTTCCAGCAGGGTCTGTGGAGCAGCAGGGGAATGTGAGTGGGGATGTCACACCACACATTTCACACCCCATGTTTCCACTCTCTCTTGGTGGCTTTGTGCATTCTGTCCCCTGATTTGTGAAGGCAGCCGTCTCTCTGGACTCTTCCTGACAGCCAAATGCCTTCTGGGATGCCACTTTTCTTCATTTTCTTCTCTCCTTCTCCTTTGCAAATGGGTGCTTCTGTCATTCTAAAAGCATTTCTTGAGCACCAGGGCATGCTGCCTGCCCTCCAGGAGACAATGGTCCGAGGTGAGGCAGACCTATGAGCAGTTAAGGGCCCTGAAAAGTTCCCTGGGCAGTGCAAACGGTTAACACGCTCAGCTGCTAATTAAAAGGTTGGATGTTCGAGTCCACCCAGAGCACCTCGGAAGAAAGACCTAGAGATCTCCTTCTGAAAAATCAGCCATCGAATACCCCATGGAGCACAGTTCTACTTGGACATACATAGGGTCGCCATGAATTGGAGTCAGCTTGACAGCAATTTTTTTTAAAGGTTACAAGGCTGGTGAGAGGAGCAAGGTGAACAAGACAGGTGCCAGAGGGGAACCCATGCTGGGCCTGGCCAGGGAAATTCTAGGTGACAAGGGGTATGTGCCTAACACTTGTCCACTGCCCAGCCCCTCCACCTCACCCCATCCACCCCACCAGTGGGTGCAGAAAGTCAGGGCCCACTAGCCTGAGTGGGACAAGGCACACTCTTGGCCATTCTAAGGACAGTCCTAGGTAATTCTGGTCTTAAATATGAACAGTTTCTATTCAGAGGAAAGGGGCAGTGGGAAGAGTGCCCAGTGCTTCACTGACCATTTTGTTCTCTTTAGGATGATGCTGGAGAAGAGCTTCCTGGCTCCTTTGAGCCTGCTGAGCCCATCAGACCCACAGTAAGAGTCCCACCCAGGCTTGTCACACCCACAATATGCAAGGGCCAGGGATGCCACAAAAATACCCCTTGGCTGAAGATTCTTTATGGCAGCTACCACAGTACCTTCCAGACAGAGCTTAGGACTTTCCACTCTACCAGACCCTACAGTGTACTCAGGAATTTGCTTACATCCTGTGCCCTGAATAGCCTACAGGTTCCTCAAACTCAACATATCCCAAACTGAACTTGACATCCATGTCCCCAGACCTGCTCCTCCTCCTGGGTTCCCCAGCTCTGGGAATGGCACTAATCTACCTGATCATGAAGAGAGAAACCAGGAAATCTTCACAAGTGGTCCCTCTCCCTCCTCCATACCCACCCAGTGAGTCACCAGGACTTGCCGAGTCTGGCTGAGCAGTGTCATCTCCTCTTTCTGACAATGGCATCAGCCTCCTGACTGATCTCCCTGCCTCCAGTGTCAGCATCTCCCTCCTGCCGCCCCCCCCATATCATCGTTACCTTCCTAAGCCCAGTATAACCCCACAACCCAGCCTTCCAACAGGTGCTCAGTACATACACTTTCAAGGATTGAATTAGTCCTTGTCTGGTTCCTGTCTTCATGACTTAACTACCAGAAGGATGTTTTGGCAATTTCCTTTTCTTTGTTGGGAGAATTTGATGCCATTCAACAAGTGTGCACCGAGTGCCTTCTTTATGCACAGAGTGCCTTCTGTATGCACAGAGGTGTCTCAGGATTGGGCCTCTTCTTGAAGCACCCTAGTCTAGAGGGACTGACAGGCACATGTAAAACTAAGCTTCAAGTCTGGTGGACACAGATGAGGAGGGGTGAATTCCACCTAGAAATGGGATGGGGAGGGCTTCACAAAGGAAGTGACCATAGAACTGGGCCTTAAGGATGAGTAGGGCTCTGAAAGGCAGGAAAAGAGGCTGAGGATGTGGGAGAGGGTAGTATGGTAGAGGACTGGGCGTATGTCTTCCGTACGCTTAGGAGGGGTGAGGGAGGAGGGTAGCTGTAGAGAGGAGTGGGAGAAAAGGCCAGAAGGAAAGTTGGGAGCAGAAGTTATAGGCTACAGAGTATGGGAAAAACTTTTAGTGAACATAGCCGTCCTTGGAGAGTGGCAGTTGAAACCAAGTTGTGGGATTTTTTTTTTTTTTTCTCTAGGTGGGAGCTGAGGCCGAGGGCTTTGACCTGGCCTGGGGCTCTGGCTTGGACTTGGGCTCTGGCTCTGGTGACCTGGTGCACAGTGAGGATCTGTTAAGAGTGAGTATGATGGGTTAAATGACCTAGAGTCTGGGATTTCCTTCAAAATCATCCAGGAAGGAGGGACATGGGGGTTGGGTCATAGGTGAAACCAGATTGACCATCATTGATGATTGCTGAGGCCAGTGATGGGTTCACTGGGGTTCATTACACTTTCCCCTCTACTTTTGCCTATGTTTGAAATTTTCCACTTTTATGAGCTCGGTTTTAAGTGAGTGTGAGCCTGAGCTCAGTTTCAGGACCTCATCTTCTCCATTTCCCTCCTTTCCCTGGCAGCCTTCTGGAGCAGGCTGTTCCACCGCCACCTCTAGCAAGAGGACCACTTGGCCGTCACCTCTACAATTTGGCTTCTGCCCGCACTCTCACCCCTTACTCACTAGAGAGACCTCTTCTCTGAGTAACATTTCACACTTTGGCTTCCAGACCTTTTTTGAAATCCCACCCCGAGTCTATACCCCCCTTACTTCTCCAAGTCACTCTTTTTCTGTTTGTTTCCCTTTTCCTTCATTGGCCACTTCTTGCCTCCCTGGCCCCTGCTCAAGGCTAGGGCTCCATTGGTTCCTCTCTGAATTACCCCTGGAAGGATTCCTCTCTTCTCCAGCTGCAGCTGGCGCCTCTGTCCACAAGGGCTCCCACCTCATATCCAGGCCTTCCTTTGAGCTGAGCACCTGTGCTGAATCCCCATCTAGAAGGCTCCACTTGGCTGCCCCTCTGCCAACTCATGAGCAGGCTGGAAGGGCTCTGGTCTTATTGCAAGAATGAATCAGGAGCCAAATGGGACTTCCAGGCTGGTGGCTGGAACCCAGCAAGAGGCTAATGAGACTGGTACATTTCAGGAAGATTTTTAGCAAGGGTTAAAATAACAGGTAATTTTCATTTGAGCCCCTCAGATAACCAGAAAACTAAATTAGCCAGAGCACCTCTGAGAATTCTAACTAATTGTTTTTTTTTTCTTTTTCTAAATTTTATTTATTTTGCTGTTGTTGCAAATATACACAGCAAAACATACACCAATTTGACAGTTTCTGCATGTACAATTTAGTGACATTGATTACATTATTCGAGTTGTGAAACCATTCTCACCCTCCTTTTCTGAGTTGTTCCTATCTCATTAACATAAACTCACTGCCCCCTAAGGTTCCTCTCTAATCTTTCAAGTTGCTGTTGTCAACTTGATCCCATATACACAGTGCTTACAAGAGCATAATGCTCAAGGCAGACCTTTTTTTACTAGTTAAGCTAAACTATTGTTTGGTTTTAAGATGATTTTCAGGGGATATTTTTGGTTCAAAGTTATCTCAGGGTAATAGTTTCAGGGGTTCATCCAGCCTTCATGGCTCCAGAAAGTCTGGAGTCCATGAGCACTTGAAATTTTGTTCTGCATTTTTCCCCCTTTTGATCAGGATTCATCTATGGAATCTTTGATCAAAATATTCAGTAATGGTAGCAGGCACCATCCAGTTCTTCTGGTCTCATGGCAGAGGAAGCAGTTGTTCATGGATGCAGTTAACCACACATTCTGTATCCTTCCCCTGTTCTTGACTCTCCTTCTTCCTCTGTTGACTAATTAGGTTTTTATTATATACACACATCTAGGAAAAAACATAAAATAATAGAGTCAGAAAGCCCTGGATTCAAATGCCAGCTCTTCTACTAATTAGCTGTGTGTGAACCTTTGAGTAAGTCACATCATCTCACAAGCCTCAGTTTCCCTATGTGCAAAGTGGAAATACCAATCCCTACCTCAGTTGTAAGGAATAGAGAGGATGTATGGAACATATGTGCTCCGTAGATATTTATCCTTCCTTCCCCCTAGCCATTTCTAACAGCGTCTGTTTTTCAGGGTCCCCCAGGCCCACCAGGCCCACCTGGCTTACCAGGGATTCCAGGAAAACCAGGAGCTGATGTTTTCATGGGGACCCCCGGATCTCCTGGCAAGGATGGAGCTGCTGGTGAACCTGGGCCCCCGGTGAGTTTCTGAAGTCAGCTCCCCTCCCTGTAGCCATGGGACTTCCTATAGCCAGGGAGGGGTATACACATTGCAGACCCCCAGCACTGGCTAAGGCACACAACAGGGAAAGAGCAGCTAGCTAATGTTTGCAAACAGAAATCCTCCTTGTTGAATCATTACTAAGAATCATGAGAAGTGGTGCCAAGAAAAGCATCATCCTACACATTGTTTTGCTGCTGTGTCTTAGTCAGTGCAGGAAATACGGACCATGCACGATCATAGAATCACAGGATATCAGTACTGGGCCTGGACTGGGAGCATCCAGTCCAACTGTGCCCAGGACTCCCCAGCAGAGGAGAAAATGTGACTCAGAGAGTGAAGGACACTGGTCCACAGCTAGCGGTGGCCACACTGTGGCTGGGTACTGGCCTTCCTGGGACCTGGCACAAAGCTCTGGGCTCACTGGCCTCACCCACTGGGTCCTCCCAACCCTGCCCTCCTTTTTCTTTTCCAATAACGGTTTGTTTGTTACTCTTATCAGAAATGTTGTGGGCTGATTGTTGTTACTGATGTTCCCCAGGGCCCGGAGGGAGAGCCTGGACTTAATGGAGCCTCTGGCCTTCCTGGGATGAAAGGGGAGAAGGTAACAGAAAGGGGGGGGTTCCAACACATGGGAGCCACTGGGGCCACACATCCTCTCTCTGACCTCCAGGCCTGACTCTGCCTCTTATGTGAATGCCGACCCCCAACCCCCGCTGATCCTTTCTACCTGTAGCCCCATCACTGGGCTCATTATGCCCAAATCTGAACTCCGCATCTTCTCTACCCATGTGTTCCCAGCTTCAGAGAATGGCACCACCACCTGCCTGGTCACCCGAACTGAAAAGCAGTCTTCTCTAACTCCTCCTCCCTGTCCCTTTCCTACCACAGTCGGTCACTCGCCAAGACTACCCGATCTGACTTCCACATCCCTCATCTTTCTCTGTACCCTGTTCGGACTTCTTCTTTCACATCTGGCTCCTCACTGGTGCCCTACTCTCTCCACTCACAATCCGTTCTTCACCCAACTGCCCAGTTCCTCTTCCTGTAGCAAAGCTCTCATCAGGCACTGTCCTCTCCACTGAGGAAACATCACTGGCTCCCTGCTGCCTGCAGAACAAAGCCCTAACTATGTTTGTAACAAAACATTTGCCATTTGGACATTCTTCACATGTACAATTCAGTGGCACTAATGGTATTCATCATGTTGTGCAACCATTGTCTATTTCCATGTTTGCCATGTGTATTTCCAGCTTTTTCCATCACCCTTAGTAGAAGCTCCATGTCTCCTAAGCAGGGAGTCCCCTTTTCCCCTCCCTCCCACCTTCCCCTTGTAACCACTAATAACCAGGGTTTTGAACCAGTTCTGAGTGGTTCAGTCATGGCCAATGTAAACAAGGGCAGTGTGTGCATTGCATAGCAACCAAATCTCTTGCACATTGGATTTTGACCTGAGTAGGAAACAGGCTGCATCAGAATCTGATGCACGAGATTTGGTTGTTATGCAATGCATATGCTGCCCTTGTTTCTGAGTAGGAAACAGGTGGAAACCCTGGTGTAGTAGTGGTTAAGTGCTACGGCTGCTAACCAAAAAGTCAGCAATATGAATCCACCAGGTGCTTCTTGGAAACTCTGGGGGAGGCCATTCTACTCTGTCCTGTAGGGTCGCTATGAGTTGGAATGACTCAATGGCAACGAGTTTGGTTTGATTGGTTTTTTTTTAGCAAACAGGCAGCGGTGCCCCCACTCAAAGATGGCAGCTGAATGCGCTGCTTTGAATGTGTGTCACTCTCCACAATCATACCAATAACCCAATGTCCAGTATCAGGTTCCTGAAAGTTTCCTGATATGGGAGATTGGATTATTGGCCCCTGAAATTTTCCTGATGCGGCAGGACCGTGGAGAGCGACACACGTTCAAAGCAGCACGGTCAGCTGCCCTCTTTGAGCTGGGTACTGCTGCCTGTTTCCTACCCGTTGCCATCGAGTCAATGCTGACTCATAGTGACTCTATGGGACAGAGTAGAACTGCCCCACAGGGTTTCCAAGGAGCAGCTGGTGGATTTGAACTACTGACTTTTGGGTTAGCAGCCGAATCACTTAACAACCACTGTGCCACCAGGGCTGTGCGTGTTTCCTACTCGAATCAAAATCCAACGCACGAGAGATTTGGTTACTATGCAACACATATACTGCCCTTGTTTCCATCAGCCATGACGGAAGCATTTAGAACTGGTTTGAAGCCCTGCAAATAACTTAGAAATAGGCCTTCAGGGCCCTTCCCCGTCCGCACTAACCTTCCTTCCTAGCCCATCTCCCACCTTTCTCTCACATGGCCTCCATGCTCGCAAGCCGGCCCAACCAAAATTCTCTGGGCGTGCTCTTCTTTTGCAGCCTCCTGGCCTTTGCACATAGTTTTCTCTCTGTTTGGGATGTCCTTCCCCTTTTCTCATCCTCCAAGGCCCAGTTCAGATATATCCTCTGGGACGCCCTCCTTGACTGCCGATGAGCAGAAAATATTCCTCCTTCCTCCACTCTATCGGTACAGCATTTATTCTGCTGGGACCCCTCTTAGCCAGTGACACTAAAGCTGTTAGCTTACGTGTCTGCCCCCGACCCTGGCAAACATGGAGCATGTGGCACTGTCTCTGTATCCTATGCAATCCTCTGTATTGCACAGGCCAATATTAGCATGTGAGGAATGAGTGAAACTTCCTCAGATAATATACCATTTTAATCTGCCATTCCTGAAGCCTCCGATACCTTCATTCTCTGGGGCCCTCTGTCTGGATGCCCTGAGCTGGTGCTGTGGGAAGATAGGGGCAGTGTTCCTATCCGTAGGATGCCCTCAGTCTGCTTGAGGAGATAAGCCGTGTCGGCAAAAGCGTGCAATAAAGATACGGTGAGCCTGATGCTAGTGACAGAGTCGTAAGTTTGGCTGGAATTCCGTGGAGGAAGGGTCTCTCCCAGCTGGATGGGGAGTAGGGATCTTCTGTGCGCCCCACTTGGATGAAGACATGGAAAATGCTGACTCTCTAGACACCGTACTCTTCACTGAACTGAATTTCCCATTTCTGTCAACTCTCAAGTGTGTTTATTTTAATTAAAACAGTAACTTGATTTTCCTGGAAGAGCATTTCTCAGAAAAAGAAGAAACAAATAATTGTCAGGCTTTATAGAACTCATTTTACATGTACCAACTGTTTCACAAGAGATAAAATTTTGTAGGAAACATCACAGACCTACGCTCATGTTGCCTGTCCTTACCAACTCCCCCTCCCCTCACTCCTCCTACACACTGGGTCTCCAACTTAAAATGACTCACACCCACATCCACAGCACCCCCCACACAGGTGCACAGAGAACCAGCCATGCACTGTCCTGCAGGTTTGTCCAGGGTAATTCTGGGAGAGAAATCACGCGTGTTTGTCGGTTTCTGAAATCTGCCAGGAATCCTAATTTACGTGTGGACATGATGCTTCCTTGGGAGTCCTTAGGTGGCACAAATAGCTAAGCACTTGGCTACTAACCAAAAGGCTGGCGGTTCAAATCCACCCAGGGGAGCGTCATAAGAAAACCCTGGCAGTCTACTTCCGAAAGATCACAGCCATTGAAAACCCTATGGAGTGCAGTTCTACTCTGACACACGTGTCACCATGAGTCAGTATTGGCTCAGTGACAATGGGTTTGGTTGTTTCTTTTTTCCTTTTTTTTAATGATGCTTTCTGGTCAAGTAAAAGCTGACTCTTGAAGGACTCAAAAATTTGCATCTTTTCCTTCTGAGAGCTTGAGGGAAACTTGCACATGGCATTGTGAAAAAACAAAAATAAACCAAGGAATATGATCTGGATGTAGAATAAAGAAAACATATGTGTTTCTCTTTATTCCATTGTATGTATGTACCATATTTTGTTTATCCATCTGTCTGTTGATGGGAATTTAGGTTGTTTTCATCTTTTGGCTATTGTGAATAGTGCTACAGTGAACATTGGTATACAAGTATCTGTTTGAATCCTTGCTTTCAATTCTTTTGGGTGTATATCTAGAACATGGTACATGTATACAATGGAATATTACTCAGCCATAAAGAGAAATAAAGTCCTGATACATGTTACAATGTGGATGAGCCTTGAAAATATCATACTGAGTGAAATAAATTAGTCACGAAAGAACAAATATTGTATGATTCCACTCATATCAAAGATCTAGAAGAAGCAACTGTACGCAGACCTAAGGTTATTAGTGGATACCAAAGGTGGGAGGGAGGGGATAAGGAGGCTCACTGCTTAGGAGACCCTGAGCTTCTGTCAAGCATGAAGGAGAAAGTTGGAAATAGATGATGGTTTACAACGTGATGAACACAATTCACTAAATTGCACATGAGAATAGTGTTGAAAGAGCAAATATTTTGTTACAAATATATTCACCACAATAAAAAACAAACAAGAACACAAAAGGATACACACAAAAGAAAACATATGGGAAAGAAAAGAAACAATCTCAGGGATGTTACACAACATCAGATCCCCTGACACATTAATCATTGACTCCCCTCCACAATATCTGCTCTTCAGCTTGCACACCTCCTGTGACAAGGTACTCATTTCCTGCCCAGGCAGAGCCTCCCACAGTTGGGTGGATCCATTCATGGGGACGTCTTTCCTCATGCCACGATGAAAGCTGCCTCCCTTCTCACTTGCAGAGCGCCTAGCCCAGTCAAGGCTGGTGTCTAAGTGGGCTTTGAGTGCAAAAATTCAGTGCTACTCTAGCATCCCTTCTGGCAGCCCTCCCCTCTGACCTGAGCTCACAGCTGGCTTCTTTCTGTGGGATCCACATCCGACACCCAGGAAATATGTACTGTGATCCCCCGCTGGGGTTGCACGAGCAACCTGCTTCCATGCAACGCCCCCCCCCCCCATTCTGTCCTGCTAGCTTGCGGTCTTTAGATTTTTCCAGAAGAGAATCACTCATTCCAAGTGTCTCCCAAACTCCAGACGATACATACAAGTTATTGGAGCCCTTTCACTTGGCTCAGAGTAGAGGAAGTCCCCCCTTACCTCCATCATGGGAGGGGTGGAGAAGGGGACCATCTCAGTACACTGACAACTTGCCAAAGGAATTCTTCCTTTGTGACCTCTCTTTGGTTTTTACACCTGAGCAGGTGATGGACTAATACTGTAAACCCATTGAAAAATGGGTTTCACAGCTTTCAGCATGCCTCCCGTAGTAGACTGACACCTAGTGTACCATACTCAGTGGCTTGGAGACATCAGCCAAAACCAGGACAGAAAGAGCCCCATTTTCATATCCTGTTACTTAAAAGTGCATAGTCTGCATTTTCTTACCTATGAGATATATATGAATTACACATACCTATGAGATGTATCTGGAGCCCTGGTGGCACAGTGGTTAAGAGCTCGGCTGCTAACCAAAAAATTGGCAGTTCAAATCCACCAGCTGCTCCTTGGAAACCCTGTTGGGCAGTTCTACTCTGTCCTATAGGGTTGCTATGAGTTGGAATCGACTCAATGACAATGGGTTTTGGCTTTGGTTATGAGATATATATTACTTAACTTTTGATTTTTTTCTTTTTCAGGGAGCAAGAGGGCCTAATGGCTCAGTTGGTGAAAAGGTAAAAAAAACAACAAAAAAAAGGTTTTCCCCTTGTTCCCCTCCTTCCTTTGGTTTACTGTAATTGGATTGTTGGGCTGGAGTATTGAATGTATCAATGTCATGGAGCAGAGAAACTCATCTCAGAGGAACTTCTCAGGGGAGGTAGAACAGCTGGGAGTAAAGTCCCTTTGAGGTTTTCTCCTTCCTCACCCCCTCCCCACAAGTGCATTCAGATGCTGGGAAGCAGCTTATCTCCAAGAGAAACATCAATTAGCAAGACAGCTGCTCTGTGCTATGAAGCCGCACCGATCAGAGAATTCATCAGCCTAATTAAGTTCAAAGAATGCCTTTCTGACTCAGGCGTGGTGCACTCTTCCTTCCTGAGTGAACGCAGGGCTGGGTAGTCAGTCTGTCCTCTTTCTTGCAGGGTGACCCCGGCGACAGAGGCTTACCAGGGCCCCCAGGCAAAAATGGACAAGTTGGCAGCCCAGGGCTCATGGGTCCCCCAGGGCCTCCTGGGCCACCTGGACCTCCAGGCCCTGGGTGTGCTATCGGTCTTGGATTTGAGGTAATTGCCCTCTTTTTTATGGTTAAGAAGCCCTCGTGGAGCAGTGGTTAAGAGCTCGCCTGCTAACCAAAAGGTCAGCAGTTCAAATCTACCAACTGCTCCTTGGAAACTCTGTGGGGCAGCTCTACTCGCTCTTATAGGGTTGTTACGAGTCGGAATCGACTCGACAGCAACAGGTTTTGTTTGGTTTTATGAGTTAAAGAGCTATGTACACTATGGCTACTGGGAAGGCAGCTAGTCCGAGGATGGGGCTACACGGATTCCCCTCTGGGCTTCCAGCTCCCAACACCACACCTGGCACAGGTAGACGCCCAGGACATGGTGCCTGGGTCTGAAGTTGTCATTCTTTCTCCTTTCCTAGGATACCGAAGGCTCTGGAAGCATCAGGCTGTTGAGTGAACCTAGCGTCTCCCCACCAACGGCTTCATGTGTAGGTTGAATTTTGAAACTTTCATTATGAGAGTTATCATGCCGTTACGCTAGAGTTAAGGACCCAAGGAGGAGAGGCAAACTCCCCTTCCAGAGTCTGGTCCTTTCGCTCTCTGTGGGGTATTCCTTCCTTCAGACTCTGGAAGGGGGACTTGCCTCTCATCCTTTGCTCCCATTGCCTGGGACAAAATCAGTCCTAGAGCTTAGGGAGAGATGGAGAGATGGGGAATGGATGGGAGTGAGCCAAGCGAATAGAAGAAAACCAAAGAATTTGTTGTTGTTTTTGTGTGTTTTTTGTTTGTTTGTTTTGCAGGGTCTTAAAGGAGAAAAAGGAGACCAGGGACCCAAGGTGAGGTCACAGATCTGAGATGGGTGTGTGTTGGGTGGGTGTCTTTTCAGCCTGGTTCTAGGAGCATTATCCATTTACAGTGAATCTTCTTTTTCCTCACTGCTGGAACCAGGGTGACAGGGGATTGGATGGAGCCAGCATCGTGGGCCCCCCTGGGCCCCGGGGGCCGCCAGGGCACATCAAGGTCTTGTCTAGTGTGAGTATCATCCAGATCGGAGCTTAACTCACGCATTTTTGGCCTGGGTAAAGCAGAGAGGAGGTTGTCCACAAGTTGGCTGCCTTCAGATGTGCTGTTATGCGGGGGACATGGAGTTAGCATCTTGTGCCCAGAGCTTCCACCAGCCAGCACACCTGTCTGTTCTTACCCTGTTACCATCATTCTCTCTCATGGTGCTTCCAGAATGCTCTTCTGGTTGACAGCACATGAGGACCAGCTCAAAAAACAGCTTAGGAGCATGAGAGGTGTTGGGTCTTGAGGAAGCCCTGAATAGGCACCACCCAGCCGGGTTCTGAACAAGTGGAAAAATTAAATCAAAGATTGAGAGGAAGGCCCAAATACCACCTTTATTACTGATAGAGGTGAAGTCGAAGGGCTTAGAGTATGGGAGAGCCAAATGTTCCTGTTAACTGAAGCCCAGATCTGGCAGACTTGCCCTCCAGTCCCTGGGTGTACCCCCTGGAGGCAGGCAGATCCCAGGAGGAAGAAGGGTGGTGCTGAACTGAGCATGCCCATTTATGCTTCTCCAAACTGCCAATCAGATCGACTACTCCACCTCCCCAGGGGCAGAGTAAAGGGCCAAGAGATGCCTCTAAACGAGCTCCAGTCATGTCAAAGGCATCATCTGAAGTAGGGGGAACCATCCCTACCCCCACCCTCATCAACAGGGAAGTCAGTAATGTGTTATCATTAAGATCCCTGCAGGGTAGGCCTCCGTATTCTGGACCACCCATCCCGCCTTCAGGTCTTTGTACAGCAATGGCCTGTTAACATGCCTATGTTCTCCACGTGGTCCTAAGGGTCCTTTTCATCTCTGAATCCCAGTGCCTGGCCATGCTCAATCACTGTGAGCTGAAGGAAATTTTAGATGTCGTGTAATCCTCTGCTGGAACCCACTCAACGGCACACCACAATAGCAAACACCCACATCCATACCCCCCATATCAGGTCCCATGCTAGGCCCTGTGGGTACAAAGATAAGTAAGACACAGTCCCCACCTTCGATGGGTCCCCAGTGCAGGAGGGGAGAATGGCTGTAACAGTCCTATAACTGAAATGCAAAGAAACATAAGCGGGCGAACAAGAAAGGAAAGATGGTTTGGGATAGGAGAGATCAAGGAAGGCTTTCTGGAGGAGGTGTCTTTGAACAGGGACTTGAAAGCTGAGGAGGATTTTACCAGGTTCGCCTGGAGTACAGGGCTTTCAGAGTTTAGGTGGCAGGGCCACCCTGAGCCAGAGAACAGAGGTAGGAACATGTGGGTGTGTCCAAGGCACAGGAGCTGACTTGTGTGAGAGAGCCAGCATAGGGTGGGTGGAGTGGGATGGAAATTTGGAGAGAAGACTGGAATGTGGGCTGGGACAAGATTGCAGTCCACTTAATATTAGGACATCACATTTGGGAAAAATCATGGCCTCCTGAGAGAAATGATGTCACACTGACAGATGATAGAAAGACAAAAAGCCCCAAATAACAGGAAAAAGGATGACTGGAACAACAAAAACAAAATTAGGATTAAAAACTATCAACTGTGTATAAGGATGGAGAGAAACAGGTACTTTCATATGCTTCTGGTGGAAGTGTAAATTGCACAACCCCCTTGGACAGCTTTTTGGCAGTCTGTTAAAACTAAAAATGTCCATAGCCAACAGTTCCACATGGAAAGATCTCCAAGCTATATACTTGAGTGAAAAACACAAGTTGAAGAACAATGCATACAGCCTGATGCCATTTATGTAAAATAACCACCCACACATACACCTATGCACACACAAATACAGGAATAAACAAAACAGCACTGTATATTTTCTGTGAGTGTGTGTATGTGTGGATTCAAATTTTTTAAACGGAGAATACATTCGTGTATTGCGCAATGTAAACCTTAATTAAAAGAAAAAAGTGATAAGGCAGCTCAGGGCTGTTCTGTAAGACATGAGAGGGGTGGGTGGGCTCGCGATGGGTTTGAGGGTGTTAAGTCTGCCTGTGTTCTGACATGCTGGGTGACTTTAATTAAAGCCTCACTGCCAGAAACAAGGCGGACCACATGCCATCCTTTGTCCTCATTGTCTGGTTTTTCTCTTTCAGGCTTTGATCAACATCACCCATGGATTCATGAATTTCTCTGACATTCCTGAGCTCATTGGGCCTCCGGTGCGTGTCCCCAGCTGCCCTAGAGTGAGGTTCCTACCCAGGTGTCCCTATTGAAATAAATTCGGGTTGGTTTGGAATCCATTTAGCTCCTGAAGCATAGCATTAGAATATGTGACAGTAGAGTGGAAAGAGAACTTTGCATTTTTGAAAAGTTACTGTCACAGTAATTCTGGTAATGCAGAGTTTTGTCCAATGCAGTGGAAGCTTCCACTCCTATGCATCAGAAGTACGTGTACTGGAATTCAGAGAATCTTAAGTAACAAACAAATTGATGTCTGCACAATGCTTTTGACCTGCTTTTATTTGCATTACCTCATTTCACAGGCAAGAAAGAGCCTTGAGAGATCTATCGTTGTGTTAATGGGGAAACTGAGGCCCAGGGAGGGAACATGACTTGCCTTGGTCTTTTGAGCCCCATTTTAAGAGATCAGGCAACTGACACATAAAGAAGTTAAATTATTTGTTCAAGTCCACAGTGTTGGTCCATGGTAAGACAGGACTCAAGAGAAGGAAGTTTCCTCCTCCAGACTGTGCGATAAATCCACACTGCATCTTCCAGTGCCTGTTGGGTGGCAGCTGGGGAAAGAGGAAAGAGCTCTGACTTTGGGCTGCTGGGGTCCAGCCCAGCTCCACCACACATCATGCACCACTATGAGCCTCTGATTCTCCTCTCTGGCTATATCTCACCAGACTTTGGGGCAGCTTATAAGAGGTAACAAGTGTGAAACTGCTTTGTAAGCTGAGGCACTCTGCACAAGCTGAAGAGTCTTATCCTTCCACAGCTGTACAATCCAGATGTCTGCTGGGGCTGCCCAGCACTGCAGATCCCAATAAGGCTGGCCCAAAGCCCCACCCATGTCCACAGGGAAATCTAGTGCCCTCCCCAAGATTTCTGCAAGTATCTGGGAGGTTCTTCTGGCGCCAAGTTTTTACTTCTGCTGAGTGACCTCTGTTTGTGGTTGTCTTCCTATCTCTAAAACCACCCACTAATCACACCCTAAAATAAACCAGCCCACAAAGCAAAGTCCATACACAGAGGGTCTTTGTTTTCACCAAACTATTTTGGAGGTTTAGGGTGATAGGCAGATTGATACTGAAGCAAAACACAGACATGCTTAAAAGCGAAGATCGGCGTGCGTCTCTGTTCCTCTAGTCCCTGGGCCCTGCCTGCCTGCACTGCCATACTCGCCCTGAGAGCTCCCTTCCTCTCCAGCTCAGAGCAGGCGGACTCACTGTCCTTCACTCGAGCAAATCCAAGCCTTCAGTGGCCCCCTCCGTCCCTAGTGGTTTCTCAAGCTTGTTCCTACTCAGAGGCAGTGCCCTGTCTGAGAGGGCTCTAGTCCTGGCTGGTACCCTTATGCTTCCCTGCACCACTACATACACAGTATGTTGGGAAACTTGTGATATCTAGTTAGATTCCTCTCTATATTGTGCCAAATTCATAAGCCTTTAATAGCTGCAGGTATCTGGGGCTGGCAGAAAGGAGTGAACCACAAACTCTGTGTCCCAGGGACTTTCAAATGGATGGAGGTAAACCTTCTGGCTCCTTTGAGGAAAAAGAACTGAGTCCTACAAACATGTTCCCATTTCCACCTCCAAATACAGCATCTTATTCACATGCCCTGGGCTCACTCCTCAGAGATCAGGAATATGTTCTAGTAAGAATGTTTATCGAGGTCCCAAGTGCTGCATTCAGGGCCCTGAGAGGTTTCAGATGCTGAGTGATTTCACAGAGGAGGCTGCCACGTAAAATCAAGAGAGTTCTGGCTCAGGGCAGCCAAGGCTCTGGGTGCCTGAGAAACTTCTGGTTCTGCCCCCAACTAGCTGTGTGACTCTGCATAGGTTTCTTGCCCTCCTGGGCCTCAGAATCCTCCTCTGCACAACGGGCTGGTGAGCCCTGCATATGGAAAAATGCTTAGGCCTTTGGAAGGTGCTGGGAGGGAGTAGACCAGTGTTCCTACTGTGTCTTTGGAAAGGCTGTCTCTAATCTGGCCTACTTTACCTTTGGTGTGTCACTGGGCCAGAGGGCATGCTTGGGCTGCCAGGATTTCCAGTAAGTACTCGGTAGCTCTCTTCCATCTGTGCCCATGGCTTTACTACTTCACAGTCTTTGCCAATTCCGTTCCTTCCACCTGGAATGCCATTTTCCTCCATCTCTGTGTGCCCAAGGTCTAGCGTCATCTTGTTCATGTAACCTTCCTCATTGCCCCTGCCTTTTTGATCTTTCCCTTTTTTGAGTCCCGTGAGGCTTTGTTTTCACCTCTCCTGTGGTTCTTTTCTGCCTTGAATTATAGTTATTTGTGTCCTTGTCCTTTGTTCTCATCCGTACTGTGAAAAGCTTCTGGAGGGTTGGATCTCTTTCTACCCCAGAGCCAACTGAAGCCTGAGAAGTGGTTGACTTCCTGTAGATGCAAGTGGATGAGTCAAACATTTCAAGTAGTTAAAGCCCATCAAAGTCCCCAAGGGGAAAGAGTGGTGGCGATAGGGGACAGGGGAGGGAGGTGAACCATGGAATAGAACTCCAGTAATTAATAGTCTGTGTGCACCACTGTCAGGCTTCCACCACAAAAGGTGAAAATGCCTTTCTTTGTAGAAGTTTTATCTAAAAGTTTGAGCCTTTACTTAAGCCCACCTACCTGGCCCCAAGGTGGGACCTGCAGGGTTTCTCTAAGACACTGAATGAGTGGTTCTGGGGCTCCATCTGAAAAACCGAATGCCAACAAGTGACAGCTTCTGCTTCCAGGAAAAAATGAAGGAAATGTGTCAAAAATGTAATAGAAGCTGGTTCTTGATTGTGGACTTAGAAGTGATTGGTTGTTCTTTATGCTTTTTTGAATTTGGTACATTTTTTCCAGGACTCTGTCCTATGATGATGCTAAAGATACACATGAACCAGACATTCAAAGAGAAGAGAGTGGCAGCCATGGAGAAGGCCCCTGTGTTAGGAAGAGAAGAGTCAGGCCTTTGGGCTCCAACCCCAGCTTGGCTGCTTCATGACCTGGAGCATGTTCCAGAAAACATTTTCCTGTAAATGAGTGGTTCTATGTTCCTGAGGGAGCCCCAGGCTCCTCAAAAGAGCCTCCAAGGCCACTGCAGGGCATGAGGAGGGGGTCGAGCAGCAGGGTCCAGGCCACAGCCTTCCAATAAGGGAAGCTCCCTTTTGACGTGTTTTATGTATCGAGCTTCCATTTAAGACTTTATTTGGAAAAAAAGGAAAGAAACGCAATGAATTTCACTATTAAAAAAAATACTAACAGCAAATACCAAAAAACCAGTGCTCTAATGAGTAACTCACTCTTTAACTCAGGAGACAAGACAGGAACTTGTGAAAAGTTACATGGCAGGAAAGTGTTGAAATGCCTTTTTGGGCGGAAGTCATTGCTGTGTGAGTCATTTTCACAGACATTTAGTGTCTGTTGGAGTTGAGGTCACCTCTGACTGGGAGATCTAGAGGATATGTGGGATTTGGCTCTGCAGAGAGGGGTGGATGGGCATTCCCGGCAGGGGGATGGCGGGGGCAGAGGGGCAGAGGTAGTAGGGAATGCAGAGGGTTAAGGGGAGACGAATCACCCCTGGTGGTGTGAGGTGGTGTGGAAGATGAGCTGCTGAGGCTTGGCTGGGGTGGGCTTGGGATGTCAGGCTAGGACATTTGGATCCCATCTCATAGACAGTGGGGAACCAGAGAAGGAGGAGGAGTCATGGAAGATGAATGGGGTGGGGCTGCAGGATGGCCTGGTAGAGCAGTGTGAGCAGAGGCAGCAAGATCAGATTAGAGGCTGTTTCCGTAACACCTGGATGGAGGAAACTGAAGTTGAAAGAGGTGTGGAGCCTGCAGGTCTCCTAACACTGTGCTGTTTTCTTTCTTTCTTTCTCTCTCTTTCTTTTTCTCTCTCTCTCTCTTTCTCTCTTTCATTCATTTCTGGAACACTTAAAATTAGGAAAATACCACAGCTAATTGTGATTTTCCACCTAGCTGGGGACTGGCGCTCTCTATTCTACTTTTTTTGGAAAAAAGTATTTCTGATTGGTTAAAGCATTTTAATCTTAACAAATAACAACAAACCCTCCAATAATTCCTTCCAGGGCCCTAGAGGACCAAAAGGTGACACTGGCATACCTGGCTTTCCAGGACTGAAAGGAGAGCAGGTAAGAGGGGCCTAGGTATCTGAGTAGGATTGTGCTCCAGAATTTGCTAAACATTTCAAATTGGCTGAAAGTAGCTGTTAACTTGCTTTTTGTGTTATTATACATTAAGGTATAATTCATATACATAACTTCACGCTTTGGAAGTGTACAATTGCGTGGTTTTCCGTATATTCACCAAGTTGTGCAGGACATTTTTATTATCCCCAGAAGAAGCCCCACACCCATTAGCAGTCACTCCCCAGCTGTTAATTTGTATAATTTCAAAGTTCCTCCATGATGAGGGTGGCCTGTGGGTGGTGCAGTGGATTTTCATCATAGTTTGGGAAGAGAACTCAACCCAACATTCCCTTTGAAGTGTTCTCACAGGTGCTATACTTTGTCTGGAGCCATGGTGGCACAGTGGTTAAGAGCTCGGCTGCTAACCAAAAAGGCTAGCAGTTTGAATCCAGCAGTCGCTCCTTGGAAACCCTATGGGGCAGTTCTACTCTGTCCTATAGGGTCACTATGAGTTGGAATCAACTCAAAGGCAAATGGGTTTGTTTTTTTGGTTTTTTTTTTGTTTTTATACTTTGTCTAACTGCCTATTGGGCACCCGCATTAGAATGTACAGTCTCTGAGGGCAGGCCTCATGCCAGTTCCTTTTGTAAAACTCTAGTTCTTAATTGGGCCTGGCACACAAATGGCACTCAAAATATTTATTGAATGAAAGACTATATCATTAGTGAATGAAAAGAATGATAATTCTTAGAAATTATAAATTGGGGCATTCTGTAGTTGAATGGCAGTCTTGGTCCAAAATCTTTGGAGTAAGTATTTAGCATACAGAACACTGCTTAAGAACTCTCAAGGACTTTCTTTGTACCTTTCCACATCTGCCTTTTTGAATTGACTTCACGGTTGGTTTTTATAGATAAGGGGGAGGGTGATATCTGTAAACAGATATAAAAGACTCAGGGTTATATTCATTTATTCATCCATCCATCCATTTACTCATCCATCTATTCATCCGACTACTGGTTCCCTAAGGTGTGCTAGCCAGTTTCCTATACTAGGCACTAGGGATATAGAAATAAGGTACAGGGAGCAGGGATGCAAAGAGCCGACAGGGAGCACGGTCACGACTGTGATAGAAGCTTGTACAAAGCCAGTCAGAGCACTTTGCAAGGAGGGTCTGGGGAGTCAAAGAGGGTGGGTGTGCTCTCCAAGAGAAGAGAGCATGAGGCTTCTGTTCTTCCTCCTTCCCCCCACCATTCCACCACTGTCCCCCAAGGAGGAGGAGAGGGACTCCAATGCCTGTTGGACCACAATTCCAGCAGGTGGAGGGTTCACTGTGCTAGGTTTGGTACTGCATGGGGGTGATGTCCTGGGATGCTTTTGTTGCCATGGGCCTGAGGGGATGGGATGGGACCAGGGCAGCTCTAGCTGGGGAGGAGGCTCAGTCATGTTTCTCTCATGAAAGCAAGAGTGGCTCTTGCTTTAAATGCCCTGTTTCCCATGCGGCTCAATCAGATGGATCTAGAGGGACCTTCGTGCTGCCCCCACCACTAACCTCCTGCCACCTTGAAAGACTGGGATGGGCACCCAGACAGCTCTGCTCCGGCCATCACAGCAAATGCACTTTCTCTCGCTCTACCTCTAATGCTTTTGTGCTTGCTTCTTCTTGCTGCTGGCGTGCTCAGGACTCCTTTCCTCACCAGCGGAGTGGTAAGATCCAAATATCAAGTGTGGGCTTATGGGGATGGAGCAGAAGAGGCTGCTCTGCCAGCTTTGGTACCACTGCCCTCAGCCCTGTTGAAAGGAGTCTTCGTTGTGGTCCAGCCCAGCTCCCTAGGGGCCCACATTTAGGTTTAGGGCCAAAGCCTGAGAGTGATATAAAAGGTTTCTCTACTTGCCCTTATTCTCTGGACATATATCTTCTCAGAAGCCTCCTGGATAGTAGATGGCTTTGCTGAAGACAGCATTTGGGGCAGGGCCTTGTGTTCCTGCCATCAGCCCATCCATCTCTCCCATTTCCCACCAGTGGGGTAGCTTTGCCTGACCAAGTGAGTGTTTGCACAGGAGCCTGAAATTTGGGGAGCAAAGTTCCACATGGAGACATGAAGCCCCTACATTGAGAGGCCTTAGTGTTTATTCTTTCCTCTCCTTTCCCAATTTCAGTTGTTTTAACATGAATAAAGATTCTTGGAAGGAGCAGACCTCAAGTTGAGTTGTCAGGAAAGGAAACCATCAAATATATCCTGTAGGGTTGCTGTACAAGAAGGTGTGAGAACGACCGTGTTGGGGCTGGATCTGGAAGGGCTGACCAGCAGGGGCGCCATGGAGGGGCATGGAAGACCATGGCCTGTGCTTTAGGACAGTAACTCTGACGGCACATGGAGGGAATAGCTCAGAGAACATCTAGTCAGTTAGGCAGTTGTCTGCCTCCCATAGTTGGAGGGAATGTCTGAACAGTGGGGCTGGATGAAGGCAAGAGAAATCATGGTGGTAGAAGGTATGAGGCCTTAGTGACCCTCTGGATAAGGTGGTGAAGAAGAGACCCAACCTCATCAAAACATTCTCTGAATTGCAGGGTGAGAAGGGAGAGCCAGGCACCATCTTGACTGGGGACATTCCTGTGGAAAGGCTGAGGGGGAGAAAGGTAATTATGTCATCAAACCCTGAGGGCATACATCTGCTTCAGCTTCCCATGTTTTTTGTGCCTCAAGCAGTGTTCCTCTGAATGACAAGAGTGTGTCTCTCTGTTTTAGGGTGAACCTGGAGTGCATGGAACCCCGGGGCCAATGGTAAGTGGAGTGTCTCTCAGCTGGGTCTGTACTGGGGCTTGAAGCATTTGGCACACTTTGGCTCTGTTAGATTTCCTTGTCCCGGTTGTGAAAATACAAAGGGTGTGGGACAATGTGCAAACCCAGCTATAGGAGTGGGCGGGCCCAGGCCCCAGGTGGAACGTATTCTGGGTGTGTCATCGGTGGCAGCTTAGGCCAAGTAGTGTGCATCCCCCGCCTAGAGGGCGTGAGGGTTCCTGCAGGAGACTGGAGGAAGGCAATAGCTCTGGAAACCTGTGGGTCCAGACAGCTAGTGCTGGAATAGGCTATGCCCATGCTTCAGGGGCTCAGCTGGAGGATGAGGGTGCCAAGATAAGACTACAGTCCTTAGGGATGGGTAGAAGCAAGGCAGGAACCAAATCCTGGAGTAAGGTCTCAGGCAGGGCTGGTATGAGGGCTGAGGCAGGGATGTATCATTCAGAGTAGGGCACGTGTGAGCCCTGGGGCACAAGACCAGGACCATGGTCTACTTTCTGAGCTGGTCCAGCACCAGGCTACCTGGGAGCTGAGGCCATGAGCTACTGACCTCTTGCTCCTTAGTTTGTCTTGGAAGACCACGGTCTGTCTTGGAAGACCAGGGTCTGGGAGGGGGTAGAATCAACAGGAGGAAGAGGGTGTGGTGAGGGGTTGAGCAAGCGGTTCCAACTGTGAGGAGAGAGGGTGGCAGGTGGTCATGTCATCATTTGCCCTTGTCCTCCTTTCTCCTACCTATGGTTCATCATCGCCACTGCCCATGAGGGCAAGCTGGGTACCGCTCATCTCCACAGACCTGGAGTTTCTATTCTTCCCTAATCTCGTATTCATTCTGCCTGTAGGGGCCCAAAGGACCACCGGGACGTAAAGGAGAATTTGGCTTCCCTGGTCGACCTGTAGGTATCAGTGTCCTCAGACGGGATGCAAAGGAGGGACACGTGGGCCAGGCAGTGGGTTTGCTAAAGCGTCTCATGTGGGTTTCAGGGTCGCCCAGGACTGAATGGCCTCAAGGGTGCCAAGGGAGATCGAGGGGTCATGATGCCGGTGAGTGCCACAACCACAGCCCCCATTCCGCACCGTCCTGTGTCACGGAGCCAGGAGGCCTGTGTGCACAGGGATGGGCAGAGGGGCTGGGTCCAGTGAGCAGGCTTGCAGACTGAATGTTCGGGAATGTTTTACTTCCTCCTCCACTGCCACTTCCACAGATCCTCTCACCCAGCCCTGTCCTCCGCTCGCTCTCAGGAGGGTCCCTGTCACCTAAAGCAGCTTAGGAGAGACCCGAGGGAGGGTGGTAGAAAGAGGCCCTGGGTGTACTCAGGAAATCTGGTTGCAAATCCCAGGTCTTCTGACTCTAGTGGTGAAATGCCCCCCTCCCCTCCTTTCCGCAGTCCCGGGGACTTCACACATTAGTGGGTGCTCAGTAAATGCTCGTGAGTGAATATCAAAGGCACATCAGCTACTTAGGCAGAGCCTGACAGGATGGCAGTACCTTGGGGCATCAGCGGATACAGGGGCTAGATGAAGGAAAACGACGTTCACTGAGCACCTACTATATACCAGACAGTGTACAAAGGGCTTGAGACACTCTGTGGGGCCCTTGTTTTACACAAGAGGAAACCGGGGCCTAGAGAAGTTAAGTACCCACCCCAGGCCGCCAACCCAAGATGCCAACACAGCTCTAGGTCCACCGCTGCTACCGTTCATACCACACTGCCTCCGCTTCGTATGTCCAGAAATCAAGAAATAGAATTTTATTGAAGCACTGGGGAGTGACTAACACTCATCAGGGCCGCTGGAGCTGTTCGTAAACCATACACTGATGCCTTAATTTGGGATGATCAATACATCTTCCACAGGGGCTCGACTCCTCATGCCTGCTGATCAGAGCCTACGCCTCCTGCAGCAAGGGGCTGCTTGGGCTCCAGGTTTGAAGGAGAAAAAGTTGCCTGGTATTGAGGCCAGAGTGACCCAGCCTTGAAAATGACTCTGGTATCTAATAAGAGTGGACTGTTTGCATTTATGAGGCACTCTCGCATGCATCGTATCACATGAGGGACCCCCCCCCCGCCCGGCCCCGGACCCGATCTCCACGCTGACAGAGAGGACGTCAGCTCAGTATGGACTGTGCACTGCTCTGCGAGTCAGAAGCTGGGTTCCAGTCTCGGTTCTGCCTTAAATTGCTGTGTGACCTTGAGCAGGTCACTTCTCTCTGGGCTTCATTATCTGCACTTGTAAAGCAGGGATAATAGTTGCTGCTCCGCTCTCACAGTATGGTTTGTTGTAAAGTGCAAGGTCATGAATGTAGAAGTGCTCTGTAAAGGGAACTGGTCTACCCATGGAAGAAGTTGGTCGGCTTCGGAAGACCCTGCGTTCCTCGTTGTGTTCTCAAGCTCTGAGGGAGGCTGAGGCAGCTGCCTCTGCACTGACACTACCTTAACTCAGGAATGGCCTTGCTTTCCTTCCTCAGGGCCCACCTGGCTTACCTGGTCCTCCAGGCCCCCCAGGACCACCTGGAGCTGTGATTAACATCAAAGGAGTAAGTTGAGGGAGCAAGGGGGACTTCAGCACGGGAGCATGGAGTGGGCACTGGGCTGGCCTATGCTAGAATCTGGTGTCCTGGGGTTGGGTAGGCTAATGGCCTCACCTCTCTTGTTCTCATTTCCCACAGGCCATTTTCCCAATTCCTGCCCGGCCACATTGCAAAATGCCAGTAAGTAGACATATAGTCACTGCCTTGAAGAGCAACTCTTGAGAAAAAGATCAGCCTCTGTCTTGTGCCCCTTCTTTCCATGAACATTCTCTCTGATGTCTTCTAGCACCTTCGTATAGACCATTAAGTGTCTAGAAGCTTTTAGATAATAACTCGTGGCAGTGAAACATCCTGGATCTTCTAAGTGGGCACACACTGCCAGCATACTTCTTCCAAAGCAATTGAAAAAGCATGGCCTTTTGTTATCGTAACCACATTGGCTTCATGCTTGGAGCAGTACCAAAAAAGGGGAAATAGACCCCTTAAAAAATACAGATGAGGGAAAAAAAAAAAAAAAAAAAAAGAACACTAAAAAAGCACTGCCACCCAGTGGTCTTTGCATTGGGAACTTTGAGCTAAAATCTGTTACTGACCATGCTCTGTCCTTTCCCGTTATCATGTTACTGCACAGCACACAACCTTGAGAGGCAGGGATTATTGCTCCCACTTTATAATGAGGAAACAAACTGTGACTCAGAGAAGCTAACAGACTTATCCAAGGTCGCCCAGCAGGACCCTAACAGAGCTGGGATCATAGCCCAGGTCTCCTGACCACCAAGCAGATACAGACACTCTAAGCCTGGAGGTCAGAACTTGCCAGGGTCTCCCAGCCAGTCAGTGGCACAGTCCCTGTGTTTTCACTCTTGTTAATAGAGTCCTATTTCTGTGGGAAAACCCAGGGAGGGTGGGCCTCTCTCTGTGTACAGGCATTAGTCATGGAACCATTCATCCAACAAATAATTATTGCACACCTACCAAATGCCAAATCCTTCTTGGCCCTGGGAACACAGGAGTGAACTAGACAGGTGTGGTCTCTGCTCCCAGGAGCTTGCAAATTACAATTTAGAAAGATTCCTTAAAGTGGGGACATAATTAATGCCTGTTGGAGGTGGTGATGAGGCTTGGGTCAGAGGCTTCAAGATGACGCAGTTTGGCTGAGTGTTTGCCTAGACATCTGCCCGTGTCTGACCTTTGAAGCACCGAGTCTTCACACTGGGCCCGGGAACTGTGGCCTGGAAGGCAGAGGACAGGACCCACCGGCTGAAGGTGACTAACATGCACGGGCTCCCAGCTCGACAGGAGGGCAACAGCAACCCAGAACAGAGCTTTCACGCGCTTGCATCGATGGGCTCAAGAGACCATCCTGATAGATGGCTGCATCCCACTGCCTAACGTGCAGACAGGGACACTGCAGCCCAGAGAGGCAAAGCCCCACCCCCAACTAGCATGATTTCAGGCTGCAAATGGACCAGTCATGTGACAGCACTTGACAAACTTTACAGTGCTTGGAAAATGCTACTGCAATTACCATGACCTATGCTATGACCCTCTACAATAACCATGGCCTTTAGGGTCATGGAACACCTTAAGAGAAGCCAAAGACAAGCTCAAAGTATTTTAGGTGAGTTTTTGAGTTCACGTGGCCTGGCTGGACACCATGGCACCTGGGGCACGGACATTTCCTGACCAGTTTTCCAAGTGGACATTTTGAAACAGAAATGCTTCCTCTCTTGCCCAGCATTTCACATCACCCTTCTCAACCCAGCACCTTCCAACAGCATAGCAATGTACATACAGCTCATGCCTGGAGTGGAGGAACTTTATCAGCATAGCTGCAAGATAATAGCTTGGTGCTGCAACTTTCATCCTTAACCTAGAAATGTTTTTCCTGCAAAGTTTCCTACCCCAACCCCCATCTTCTCTTGGTGACCCCTCAGCAGCTTGCAACCCACCACCCATAAGCACAGAAGGATGCTGGTGCCAAAGGGATCGCTTTGATTACACACACCAACGGGGGAAAAGGTGAAGGTGGGCTATGGAAGCAGGGTTGCAGGTGGCTCTATTTTAAAAAGTTAAGGAAATGCAGGAATCTGAGAAAAAAACAGGGAAGGAATATTATCTGAAACAGCTGGGACTCCAGACTCCTGGCACTTTATGGGGAGTCCAGAATAACCCCCCAACTCTAATGATAACCCCTTAATTATTACCACTGCAGTTAGCATCTGTTCGATATGCTTATCTTTGATTATATACAGTAGCAAAGCTAACGGCTGGCCCAGCTTCATGGCACTCACTGGAACACTTGACCTCTCACATGAATCAATCCTAATTATAAGAAAGGAGTCCAAGGATGCTCATCGTTGGCCAAACCAGCACTCCCCTGGTTTGTTGTCTTAAAGCCTTGGGCCTCCCCTATGCTGAGGTTTTGACCAATAGGACCTAGTTCTGTCTACTCCAGCCCAGCTACATGATGGGCCTCCCAACTGAAGGCCTGGGATACCTGTGCATCTAGGGCTGCTGGGGGCAGGGGACGGGGCACTCTGGCTTTCTGGGCCTCCAGAGCCAAGGGAAGGCCTGGCTCCATGACATTGCCTCTCCTGCCACACACCCCTGGAATGGTGGCTGCATAAGCATGCAGACACCAGGGCAGGATTTGTGATGTGTGACCTTCCTTTTCTCTCTCTTCAGGTTGGTACCACTCATCCTGGGAATTCAGAACTCATCACCTTCCATGGTACACCAGCCCTTCTTCACCTTATGTTTCTCTGGGACATCTCCTGACCCTAGTAGCTCTGAGGAAGGTGGTTTCCATTTGTCCAGTGCTGGGTGCAGAGTAGGTGGTCAGGAAGGTCTGACTGTGTGGCTGGGGAGGGGGTGGTAGCTGAGCCATAGTGTGGAGTTGGGAAACTCTGTGTGGTTTTGTCACTCATCTGTCCATTCTACACACCTTGGCTGAGCCTCCTAGTTAGCAGGAAGCACTTCATTTGTTAGTTGGTTCATAAAACTTTCCCTGATGCCTTCCCCTTGCTTGTTGCTATTGCATGCACTGAGCCAAGACAGATGAATCCTGCCCTGTTCCTGCCACCTAGGCTGTTAGAGTCTATTAGGTGAAACTAACTATTTGAAAAACAACTATAATGCAATGTACCAAGAGCTATGATACCGGGAAGGGCCATGGGACCTTGGAAAACCTTTGCCTTGAAGGGTTCTGGGACCAGCAGCATTAGCATCACCTGGGAGCTTGTTAGAAATGCAGACTCTCAGGCTCTGCCACAGACCTACTGAACCAGACTCTGCATTTTAACAAGCTCCCCAGGTGATGTGTATGCACAGTCAGGGGTGAGAAGTGCTGGCTTGGAGTTTCGAGTAATAAACGTCATCATGGCCATGACCTATTGAAGGTTATCTACAAGGCATCAGAGAGGGAAAGGCCATGAGATAGAAACCTACAGGTGAATAGTCACTCTTACCCTCCCGGTCTCCGTATCCTACCAGACATTTGTCCCCCTTTTGATTAAGAGTCTGAATACTTCCGGTTTAAATAGGGGAAGATCTTTTTTCCAATATCCACCTCCGGCTAGTCTCTGCTACCCCCAGCCTGTCAGGTGGCAATCTCCCTGATGATATCTGGTCCCGTGCGGTTTTTTTGTTTGTTTGTTTTTTGTTTTTGTCACTGTCTGTAACAAACACCCAAGTCTAGGCTGTTTTAAAACTCTGCTCAGATCCAATTCAAGGCTCTCCCTTCTCCTCTGGGGCAAGGTGGACCTTGGAGAGGAGGGTGTGGAGCTGGTTTTGCTTTCTCAGATCCCCAGTTGTTCCCCTTCCCTATGGGGCCTCTGTGGGAGAAAGGAGAGGGAACAGACCTTTCTGGGTGTGGCAGCCCCTGCCAAGCGCGTGTCCTTCTACTCACCGTGGGTGGTTACCACTCTTCCCTGAGGTGAGCAGCCACATCATTGAGCTGGTTATCCTTCTCTCTGGTCATCACCACTGTCTGGGGTCTTACTGTAGGAGGTGGAGGCCCCACAGGCCACACTGTCAGGTCCTCAGTCTCAAGCAGCTCCCCCAACATCAGTGAGGCCTTGCAAGGTACAATTGCATCTTCCCGCTGACCCCAGGATGGCAGCACCACACCACATGACTCTGATGCTCACTTTCCTTCTCCCATGTTGGGAATCCTGAGCCTACAAACCTCATCTACCCTTTGTACCCCCATCTCTAGGCTCCAGAGATTGCTCTTTCACACCTCTTGGGAACCAGGAATTCAAAGGGATGTTCTGTCTGTCTAGTCTAGTATCCACCCCACCTACCATGGTGGCGAAAGGGGGTAGCTTCCCTTCCCAAACACTGGTCTCCCGAAAGGCTCCCTTCTGCACCCCACTCCCATATAAAGAGCTGGGGAAGAAGGGAGTGGCTGTAGCTCCAGTTCTGTGAAAAAGGAGCTTCTCGTAAGCACTGTGGGAGAGGTGAGTCACTGTACAGTTTGCATTCTTCCAACTTGTAAGTGGAATACTCAGTTGTCCTTTGCGGGCCCTAGTCACCAACTCAAAAGATTCCTCTTCTCCCTTCACACTACTATGCTGCACAGGCATGGATAAGATGAGATGGAAAGTTGACCTGGGGTTGAGCCTTAGTCTGCATTCATGAAGCCATCCACGTGAGAGTTAATTGTAACTTCTGCTGGGCTCCCATGATGCTCGGTTAGTATCTTAATGATAGCACTTATTTCATCTCGCCTTGTATTATCATTAGCTCTGTCTGGCTCCCCCACGAACTGAGCTTTTCAAGGTCAGGAATTGTGTCTGATGCATCTACCTCTGCTCTGCCCATCATTTAGCAAAGGATTTTATAGATAGTGACTCCTCAGTAGGCCTTTGTTTGTTTGAGTGGACTTTACTAAAGGGCTCAGTTTGAAAATTTGTCTTGGAAAGGTTTTATATTGAATGAAGGTGATTTTCCACAATCTTTTTTTTTTTTTTTTTTTTAACTGTGTGTGTTTTTTGGCAGGTGTTAAAGGAGAAAAAGGTTCCTGGGGTCTTCCCGGCTCAAAAGGAGAAAAAGGTGACCAGGGAGCCCAGGGACCACCAGGTAATCCAACTCTTGTTCTAGATCTTACCTTGGGGTTTTATTCCTGAGAAATGTGACCGAGCTAGAGAATAAGACTGATTAAATTACAGCCCTGACCTGAAGCTGCACTGAGTTCTAGGGAGAGCCAGTTATGGGTGTGGAGGGTCCAAGGTAGAAGGTTATCAAGAGAGACCAGAAGTCCCGTTCCTTCGTGTTTCATATGTGAAATGAGGCCCAAAGAGGGCCAGGGACTTGCTCAAGATCCCAGTGGCTTGGGTACCAGAAATGCAAAGGGATGTTCTGTCTGTCTGATCTAGTGTCCACCCCACACACCGTGGTGGGGAAAGGGGATAACTTCCCAAATGCTGGTCTCCCGAAAGCTTCCTTTCTGTGTCCCATTCCCATATATAGAGTTCGGGAGAAGGGAGTGGTATAGCTCCAGATCTGTGGAAACAGTGCTTCTCACAAATGCTGTGGGGAGGTGGGTTGCTGCACAGTTGGCATTCTTCCAACCTTGTAAGTAGAATACAAAAAAGTAGGGTAGGACCCACTTCTGCTTCTAAGTCATTGGTTATTCAATTAGACAAAGCTAGTTCACTTCCTCTAGGATGTAACAGTGGCTGCCAACTGGGAGACTTTTACTTATTTTTAAGTTTCTGAAACTATGATAGTGAATTTTAGGAAGCATTTCTTTTTTAGGTCCTCCAGTTGATCCAACTTATCTGAGACATTTTCTGAACAGTTTGAAGGTGAGTATTTCTCTACTAAACATTTGGCCAGTGTTTCCAAGTTCTTGGGCTTATGTCAGAAACCAACTTCATCCCACTCTTACTAAAATAGTCCTGTGTTCTCTGCTTCCAGGGAGAGAATGGAGACAGGGGCTTCAAAGGAGAAAAAGGAGACTCTAACGGCAACTTCTTTGTGCCTGGGCCTCCAGGCCTGCCAGGAAGTCCTGGACTGGTGGTGAGTAGTGACCTCTCCCAGTCGTCTTCCCTGAGGAGTTATGGCTTTCCCTGAAGGCCCCCAATAAGATTAGGCAGTTGGAGAGTCGAGGGTCGGTCATAGTACTACCAGCTAGAGGCAGGACTTGGGCATTGGCCAGCTCTTCCCTCATACTTGCTTATTGATGGGGAGCTTGGCTGAGGCCCATGGAAAGGGAGCTGGCCAAGGATATATGCATTCAGGTAACTCCAGGCCATTAACCACACTGCCTTATTCATGTAAATGGTGGGAAACCCACTCAACACAAAGGGGTTATTAGTGATGGACACATCAAATAATCGAGGCAGAATGGGAAGCGGGGAGATGTTTTTAGAGGGGCTATTTGATCTGAAAGGTTAGAGTTTTGAGTCTACTCAGAGGTGCCTCGGAAGAAAACCCTGGTGATCAGCTTCTGAAAATCAGCCATTGAAAACGCTATGGAGCACAGTTCTACTCTGACACACATGGGGTCACTATGAGTCAGAATCGACTTGATGGCAACTGGTTTTGTATTTGACCCTTCTGAAATCGTATGAAGGAAGTAGCCCCTAGACAGGCTTGGTGTAAGATATGAAGTTTCTCCAGGCCATGTGAGAGAAAATCAAGCTGTGTCCCCAAAGAGAATGTAATCCAATTATTGACCCTCGGGGACCGTCAACAAATCCTGATCCCAGAGCTCACCGTAAGGGTAGAATCAGCAAAGCTAGGAGACAAGGATTCTATTTCCAGCTCTGCCTCTAATTTGCTTTGTCACCTTAGGCAAGTCCTTTCCTCTCTCTAGGTCTCAGTTTCTTCATCTGTAAAATGCAAAGACTAGACTAGATGATCTCCAAGGACCCTCTGACTCCAGGGCTCTCTGTGTCATTCAACACAATGAGTGGGCTGCTGCTCTTTAGATCTTGCACCACCTTGAGCTGATCCCAGTATTGAGAATAATGATAACAATAGCTGGTTTTTATTGACTTCTTATTGGGTGTTGGACACTATACTGAGTATGCATTTTATCTCTATCCTAAGTATGTAATTATCTCATTTTATCTTCATAATAATCCTATGAGGTTGTTACCATCATCATTCCCGTTTACAGAGGAGGAAACTGAGGCTTATTGAGGATCAATAGCATCACCAATGCCATAGAGTAGGAAAGGATGAGAGCAGGATTCACACCTGGGCTATTACCTAGTACACTATGCTGCTTCCTAATGGAGCTTATGTAAGAAAAGCCTGTCCTTTCATCCATTGGTTGAGCAGCAGAATTGAACCTTTAGAAAAACCTAAATGTCAAGAGGATTGCTTAATAGCAGCAAGCAAAAGTAAATAAATAAATAAGCATATAATATGCCATTAAAATGCTGATTATGAAGAATATTTAATGATTGGGAATACAAGTGATGTTAAAAAGGCAGAATACAAAAATGTATATACACTGTGATCTAAATTGTGTGAAAATTGTACATATGCAAAGCCTTGGGGAAAAAAAGACTGGAAGAGATTAATGGAAATTTTCTCAGAGTATTGATGCTAAGTCTTTTCACTTTTCCTTATCGTTGTTTTTCGTATTTTCTAAATTTTCTACAAAGACTATGGCATATATGTATGATCAGAGGAAGAGTAACTCTTAAAGAAAAGCATTCTGAGGGCCTGACCTTAGGATGATGGCATTGTAGTGAAGAGATGAGGCTGGATGTGGGGCAATCTGAACAACAGAGAGACCAACTAGACAGGGTGGAAGATGGAGGGTGGGGGTGAGCGCAGCCTGGGATGAGTTGGGCTCTTCTTAACCAAGAGGTCCAAACAGATGTCCTTATTAAAGCAGTTGAATGGACTTCTAGTGATTGGTGGTACTTTCTCTCTTCTGTTATTGTGTACTTGCCTTAATAGGGCCAGAAAGGGGAGATGATCATCGGGCCCCAAGGACCTCCGGGTGCTCCTGGCCTGCCTGGGCCACCTGGCTTTGGAAGACCTGGCACCCCTGGGCCACCGGGACCCCCAGGGCCACCAGGACCTCCAGCTATCCTGGGAGCAGGTTGGTACTGTGAGCTGCCCCCTCACTCATGCTGTCCTTACTGTGTTCAGGGTCACCACTTCTGGGTGGCTTCTCAGAGCTTTTGGTAAACCACACTGTCTAACAGAGGGCTGTGTCCTGGGTGGAGCCTTTTTGGCAGCTTTGTCAAAGCCTGGACCTTAGGGACTTGACAGCCAAGCATGTGGATTAGAGACCAGCATTGATTCTCTCTTTGTAAAATCTCACACCTCTCTGAGCCTCAGTTTCTCAAATGCAAAATGGGTGAGATAGAAGGAAATCCCCATTTATTGAACATTTACCAAGTGCTAGACACTTGACTGGTCAATCTACTACATTATTAAATTCTTACAGTAGTCCTTCAAGGAATATATTAGAACCCCCATTTTACAGATGAGGAAAGTGAGACTCAAAAACACTTAGAAACCTTTCGAAGGTCACACAGTTAATAAGTGGTACCCATGGGATTAGGACCCAAATCAGTGTAGTTCCAAAGCCTGAGTTCTTTTCACTACCCCTGTGCTGGAAAATAATAATACTAGTAACAATAATAGCACCAGTAAATAATTTTTTTGTTGTTTGGGTTAGCCTGAGGCTGGTGTGGTAGAAGTTACAGAAAATGGAGACCTTCAGTCCACAGTGTTTGGGGTATTGAGGAGAGTTTTACAGAAGCTGGGGGGCTGGAGCTTTGGCTTAATCATGGATCTTTTGGCTATAAGTGACAGAAACCTAAATCGAACTAGATCAAGCCAAAGGAAAATTTGTTGGATGGGAAGAAGGGGGTGAACAATCAATTTGTGAGAGACACAGACCCACAGCTGGTCCTCAGGAACTCAGCTACTGTGAGGACTCTCTCACCATCTCTGATTTTGGCTTCTATCTGTATGGCAGCTTTGTGCTTCCTCACCACAGACCACATCCGCTGCATGGTAGGAAATATGGCTGCCTACAATTTATAGCTTCTGCCATCAGCTAGAAATGTTGACCTGCTTTCTCAGTTTTAGTTTGAAAAGTCCTGAGGTAGGGCAAGTATTCTCATTGGCTTGTCTTGGGCCAGGTGCTCAACCTTGGACCAATAATGTGACCAGGAGGTAGAGGAGATAGGATCACATAAAAGCATAGCAGCTCCTTCAGAAACCAAAAGGTTGTAGAAGTGAAAGGGAAAATCTCAAGAGAAAGAGATGAGGATATTGATCTTGCAAAGATAGAAGGTATAGGACGGGTAAAACCATAGGTGCCCACATAGCCTTGAAGGATGAGTAGGCATTTCAGGAAGTGGAGGAACATTACAGGAAGTGGAGGGACACTACATGATGTGGTCAGGAAGTAGAAAATTTATAGTCCATAGTAACACTGCAATAGGGGGACCCAGGACACCTTGCTTTACTGAGTAAGGATTGCCTCTCACATAATGTACAGCAATTCACAGTTTAGAAAACACTGTCATGTCCATCATCCCATGTAACCTTCACAGCAACCCTAGTGGGGGAGATGAAATGGATATTTTTATCAAACTCATTTAATAGGTGAAAACATTGAAGTTTAGAGAGGTTAAGAGACTTGGTCAAGGTCACAAATACTAGTAAGAGGTATGACTGCGATCCAAACCTAAGTCCTTTAATCCTTTATTCCCCTAGACATTTATTACCTACATGTAGATTTTTCAAGTCCAACGTAGGAACTGCAGACTTGCATGCAGTGACCTGAAAAATTCCATACGGTAATCCTGGGAGTTGTAAACACATCCTTAACCCTGCCAAGAACTTCACAATTTTTGGAGGGGAATGAGAGGAGCGTGGGGTGGGATGACAGGATTAGAAAGGTAGAAGGAGAGCAAAGACATAACCCCCCCCAAAAAAAACAAAACGAAACAAACTTGTTGCTGTTGAGCCCATTCTGACTCATAACAACCCTATAGGACAGAGTAGAACTGCCTCATAGGATTTCCAAGGCTGGAATCTTTACGGAAGCAGACTACCACATCTTTCTCCCTTAGAGTGGCTTGTGCATTCAAACTGCAGACCTTTCGGTTAGCAGCTGACTGCTTAATCACTGCACCACCTTAGCTGTAAATAATACTTCTTTTTGTTTGCCTAAAGTAAGGCTTTTTGTTGGGGAATCATGGGCTCCTAGAGAGTTCAAGGATGGTCCTCAGGGATCTCTCATCCCCCTGAAATTTTATGTAGAATTGTGTGTGTGTGCATTTTTCTGAGGAAGAGGGCAATAACTTTGATCTGATTTTTAAGTGCATTGTAACTTTTTAAAAAGTGAAGAACCCTTTGTTGAATGCTGTAAAACTTGCAAAGTGCAGTCATAGTTTGTATTTCACTCCGTTCTCACCACAGCCCAGTGAAGGAGATATGCCTGTTTACATTTCACAGATAAGGAAAGTGAGGATGAGAGAGCTTGCGTTTACCCAAGATCACACAGCTGTTCTTGTTAGGTGCCGTCGAGTTGGTTCTGACTCATAGCGACCCTGTGTACAACAGAACGAAACACTGCCTGGTCCTGCGCCATCCTCACAATCGTTGTTATGCTTGAGCCTGTTGTTGCAGCCACTGTGTCAGTCCATCTTGTGGAGGGTCTTCCCCTTTTTTTGCTGACGCTTTACTTTACCAAGCATGATGTCCTTCTCCAGGGACTGATCCCTCCTGATAAGATGCTCAAGGTATGTGAGACATAGTCTCGGCATCCTTGTTTCTAAGGAGCATTCTGGTTGTACTTCTTCAAAACAGATTCGTTCGTTCTTTTGGCAGTCTATGGTGTATTCAATATTCTTCACCAACACCACAATTCAAAGATATCATTTCTTCTTCTGTCTTCCTCATTTATCGTCTAGCTTTCACATGCATATGAGGCGATTGAAAACACCATGGCTTGGGTCAGGCGCACGTTAGTCTTCAAGATGACATCTTTGCTTTTTAACACTTTAAAGAGGTCTTTTGCAGCTGATTTGCCCAATGCAACACGTTGTTTCATTTCTTGACTGCTGCTTCTGTGGGTGTTGATTGTGGATCCAAGTAAAATGAAATCCTTGACAACTTCAATCTTTTCTCCGTTTACTCATCTAGGAATTGACACACCGGTGACTGGAATCCATGTCTCCTGGCCCCAAGGTCAGGGCTCCTGTCGCAGCACTGTCCTGTCCTCCCTCTGCAGCCTAACACCTTCTCCTCTTTCAGAGCCTGCTTCCTCTGTCAGAGGTCATATGCTTGTCTTTTGGGTGAAGTAAGTTGTATCAGTCAGGACATATGTGGATGCAGGTGACAGAAAACTCAACTCCAACTGGCTTATACAAACAACAACAACAAAAGGAGTTTATTCACTTATAAAACTGACAAGTTCTAGGCATGGCTTGAGCCAGGGCTTCAGTTAAGAATCCCAGCTCTTCCCCGAACCAATCAGTGTGTCCTGGGTCATATGCTGGGCCCAGAGCATCCAAGATGCCGTTTCAGAGTGGGATGCTTGGCAGCATCATGAGAGGGGTTGTGAACACTCTTCTCTGCATTTTTCAACAAGTGTGTTTTTTAACCTCCCCTTTCTGCTTTGTCTTAGCTGTGCCCCTTCCAGGCCCACCTGGTCCTCCAGGACAACCAGGGCTTCCTGGATCCAGAAACCTGGTCAGTATTGGTACCAATGTGTATTTTTTTATTCTGCCTCAGATGGATTTGCTTAAAACTCTGGCTGTAGTGTTTAGAGCTGGCACACATTTTATTTTGCAATAAGGCCTCCATGAAAATAGAACTGGTGGATAAAACAAAACCATGTATTACTTTGAGATACAAATCTAAATTATACCTAACAGATTAATTAAAACAGAGAAATATTTTATGAGTACGAAGATATTTAAATACTGCAAGCAGTGTTTATTATCTATCCAGATGACTTACCAAGTAACAAGATACAGGAAAAAAAATCATTTATTATTTAAGTTCCATCCTTCTAAGCCTTAACTGACTAAGCTTTAATAAGAACCAATCATATTACATCAAAAATTATAAACACAAGGGTTCTTGTGCTGGTCCTTGCACTGGCCAGCCCTTCTCTATTCTACCAAAGGATGTTACTCACACTTTTGTTACCCTGCAGATCACTGGGCAGGGCAGAAACCCATTGCCATAGAGCACTAAGAAAATACAATAATGCACAAAAGATGGACAAATACCTCACAAGGCGATCAGGAGTCCTAGGAACACTCTTCAATCTTTGCTGGATTTTAGTCAAAATTTGACTGCCAAAAGAAGAGCTCTCCAGCAGATGATAAAATTTTGATATATTAAGTCACTGTAGGAGAATTTCTCAGCCATTTTGATTCACAAGGTCATTCAAGGCTAGTTGGAAATTAATTTTTTTAGAATCTTAGTTTAAAAAAAACACCTCTTTTGGCTGATATTTCTTTGAGATTTGATGCTATTTAATAGATTTTTATCAACTGCTAACTGAAAGGTTGGCAGTTTGAAACCACCTACAACTCCCTGGGAGAAAGATGTAACAATTTGCTTCTGTAGAGATTTACCGCCTCGGAAACCCTATGGGGTCGCTATGAGTTGGAATCGACTCGACAGCAGTGGGTTTGGTTTTTTTGGTTTATGTCTTCTTCTAGATACGCCAAGATGACTGTCTAATCTTTGGCAGTTTTCTAGTCAGAGAAATTACAGACCACCATTTTCTGTCATGCATTTAACATTGTAACTACCCGGCTAGGCACAAAATTTCAAGACTGAAGTATAGTTGCTCACTTGCCTGCATTTCTTATTTTATTTTCATTTCATTCCTGTCCAAATGAAAACAAATTGGAAACCACTTAAGGAACAGCATGAGATACCACCATTTTAAAATGTTAGTGTCTCTGAGCAGCTGAAAAAAATGCAAGTGGCAGCACTTACCGGTGATTTTGCTAAAGCCGAAACCCAACAGACAGCTCTGCTTACAGTATTTAAGTGTCTTTGTACTCACGAAATATTATCTTTTCTGTTGTAGTTTGTTATATTCTTTATAGTTTAGACTTGTGTTTCAAAGTAATATGTGGTTTTGTTTCATCAAAAAGAACGTCCTTTGGTTATTAATGAAGTTACGTATCTCCACAGGGCACAGTAAATAAGCCTTTTTCTTGAGTATGAGGGAATGGCTTATAGTTAACTTTACAAAGGGGCCAGCTTTTCCCATTGTGCCACTGCTCTAATGATAACTGCAGTGTTTGGAATTTAAAATTGTCTGGCAGGTTACAGCGTTCAGCAACATGGATGATATGCTGCAGAAAGCACATTTGGTTATAGAAGGGACATTCATCTACCTGAGGGACAGCACCGAGTTTTTCATCCGTGTCAGAGAGGGCTGGAAAAAATTACAGGTAACTCTTAAACTTTCCTTTAACAAATGACCTCCAATACCCTCTAAAAATAATAATCTGCTCCTGGAAATGCCATTTTCCTATTGATATTCCATTCTCGCTGTCCTGTTTTTCTTAAAGCTGGGAGAACTGATCCCCATTCCTGCTGACAGCCCTCCTCCCCCTGCACTTTCCAGCAATGTGAGTATTTTCACGTCTTTGCTGCTCGTTCCTTCAGTTGTCAGCATTTATTGAGTCCCCCTGGTATTGAGCACCAGGCTCTCCAAGCTCTAGACAGCCAGGTGTAATATCTTGTGGAAGCCCAGAAATTAACAGGTGCCAACAGAAGAGTCTCACAATAGAGTTGAGGGAAAACTGGACTCAGGCTGGAGACCTGTTATTCCCATTGTAGTAGCTGAATTCCTACTTGGCTTCAGTTTATTCATCTGTGAAATCATTGGTTGGTATCAGCAATCTTGAAGAGACCTTTAATCTTGACACTCGGAGACTTCTTGGCCTGAGAAGAACATCAGCAACTTACATTGTCCATTTTTTAGTCCTACAGTGACCCTGTGAGGCAGGTACTATCATCCTCATTCTACAGATGAGGAAACTGAGGCTCTGAAGAGGTGACTTGCTCTATTAAGTGACAGAGTTAGCCATAAAACATGGGTCTTCTGCTTCCTTGGTTCAGTACTCCTTTTAAGAGACTTGAGAACATCCCCTCCCTTTCTGAGGATAATTGCTTTACTGGAGCGTGAAGCTCGTCACACTTAACAGTGGCCCAAAGACAATGACAAACTATTGAAAGTACCTTCCCAAGAAAAACTACACTAACACCTCAATGTACTGAAGAACCAATTGAATGCATATTCAGAACCATTTGTTTTTCTGATTTACATAACAGCCACGTCAGCATCAGCCTCAGCCTCCACTGACGCCTATTTTAAGTGCCAATTATGAGAAGCCTGCAGTAAGTACAATTCATGCACTGACTCTGCAAATATTTCATGTGTGTCTGCTATGTGCTACGCCCTGTGCTTGGCACACAGTTCCTACCCTCTAGATGCTTACAGAGTAGTGAGAAAGGCAAACAAAAGATAAGCAGCTACAAATGCTTTGATCAAATATTCTATAGAAGAATCCTGATAAAAAGGGGGGAAAATATGGAACAACTTTTCAAATTCTCAATGGAATCCAGACTTTCTGGAGCCATTGAAGCTGGTTGAGCCCCTTGAAACTATTGTCCTTAGATAATCTTTAAACCCAAACTGTCCCCTGAAGTGTTCTTTGAACCAAAAAAAAAAAAAAAAAGCTTATTTTAATTAGTAAAGTACATCTTCTTTGAGCAGTGTGCTCTTTTAAAGAATTATCTATGTGAGATCAAAGTGACAATGTCAACTCGAAAGGTTGGATGGGAAGCTTAGGGGGCAGTGAGTTTAAGATAATGGTGGTGGAATAATGTAGAAAATGGTAACGAGAAGAGTAACACAACTTGAACAATGTAACCAACGTCACTGAATTGTGCATGTAGAAATTACTGAAATCATGTATCTTTGGCTGTGTATACTTTCACAAAAAAAAGATAGGCAGTTACAATATAGAGTGATAAATGGTTTGGGCGAGGCCAGCGCTGGTAGGTCAGAGAAGTCTGCATGGAGGAGGTGAAGTCTAAGCCAAGACCTAAAGGAGAGTCAGGAGCAGGAGTGAGCCAGGTGGTAGGAGGAGGTTGGGAATTCCAGGCAGAGGGACTGTGGGCTGGTGGGAGGCAAGGGAAGCACTGTGCATTTTTCTAATTGCAAGTATTCCAGTGTGGCTGAGAAGGGAGAAGTTTAGTGTGCAGATATCAGAAAGGGTAAGGGTTAGTCATCAAGGGCCTTGTGAGCCAGGGTGAGGACTTTGACCTTTTCCGGTGGGCAGTGGGGAGCTACTGAAGGCTTTAGACAGCACAGAAACAGAGAAGAAAAGCACCACAACCTTCTGCCCCACCACATGGGGCTCATTCCCTGTCCTTTGACTTAAGACATCTAAAAATATTTTCTAACAACTTGGACCCAGTTCCTGCACCATCCTTCCCCAGCTCTCTGCTGATGAGATAAAGTGACTCCTGAGATGAGATTAAGGAGGAGAGGTGGAGAAGGAGGGATGAGTGGTCCACGATTATGAAATGTATTCCAAGGGTACGGCAGAAAGGGTTGGGAGAGAGGGCAGTAAAGAGGGCCGGGTTTTGGGAGAAAAAGTGTAGGAGAAAGCAAATTATGGAATGGCTTTGATTTTGGCTGCTAGCCAAGATGGCAGGGATGTGAGAGTAGGATTATTATATGACCCCGAGCTTCCAAAGGAAACCCTGGTGGTGTGGTGGTTAAGTGCTATGGCTGCTAACCAAAAGGTCAGCAGTTCAAATCCACCAGGCACTGCTTGGAAACTCTATGGGGCAGTTGTACTCTGTCCTATAGGGTCACTATGAGTTGGAATTGACTCGATGGCAATGGGTTTGGTGGGTTTTGCTTTGTTTTTTTTTAGCTTTCAAAAGAATCTATCCCAGCTACCTTAGTAATAAATGCCATGCCCTTCTCTTTTCAAGGCCTTTTTCTCCTGGCCCCAGGCCTGCTGGGGAGATGGAAGAAAGGGGCAGCAGGCAGATAGCTAGACGGATCTTGGGACCCAGGAGCAAAGCTAGCTTAAAATCTCTGCTATGAGCAGGAGACTGGGCTGTTGGAGGATCCAGAGGTCTCAAACTCATGGTCCGAGGGTTAATCCAAGGAGCTAATATAAGGAAGACATTTCTACCGTATAGCACTGTTCAGAACTGGAACATGCTGCTTTGGGAGACCATGAGACACTGGAGACACTCAAGCAGAAACTGAGATTCCAACTGCTGGTAGAGGTTGAATAAGATGAACTCGAAAATGCTTCCATCCTAAGAAGTCTGTGACCTTATTAGGAACATGAGATGGTTTTAGGTGTCGGTGTTTGCCTTTAACTCTTTGACGGCAGTGTCTTTTCTCTCACTTTTTTCAGCTGCACTTGGTTGCTCTGAACACACCGTTTTCTGGGTACATTCGAGCTGATTTGCAGTGCTTCCAGCAGGCCAGGGCTGCAGGACTGTTGTCCACCTACCGGGCATTCTTATCCTCCCATTTGCAAGATCTCTCCACAATTGTGAGGAAAGCAGAGAGATACAGCCTTCCAATAGTGAACCTCAGGGTAAAGATAAATATTTTTCCCATTGTCTTCCAGATGCACTGGTCACCCCAGGGACTGTAGGTTGCTGCCACTCCCTGACATCATCAGAAAAGTGCTGGATTCAAAGCCCAGCTCTGTCCCTGACTGGCTGTGTGATTTTGGGCAAATCACTTTCCCTTTCTGGGCCTCAGTTTTCTTTATATTTAGACTAGCCCTTCCTGCTTGGATGGTCTTGTGATCCTTTTTATTTATATAGTTTTATTTTTCTGTTTATAAAGCACTTTATATCCATTATTCAAGGAGGCCTGTGGCTCAGTGGTTAAGTGCTTGGCTCCCAACCAAAATGTCAACAGTTTGAAACCGCAAGTGGCTCCACAGGAGAAAAGACCTGGCAATCTGCTTCTGTAAAGATTTACAGCCTAGAAAACCCTATGGGGCAGTTCTACTGTGTCCTATAGGGTCGCAATGAGTGGGGATCAACTCGAGGGCACCCAACAGCAACAACATCCATTATCCTAATAGATACAATAAAGATGGGAGTTATTCTTTTCTCAGTTTGTCAGAAGAGGAAATGGAGGCTCAGAGGAAGAAAATAGTTTGCTCGAAGTCACTGAGAGCTAGACTTAGTTTCCCTGACTCCTGTGTCTGGGCTTCTTGTTCCACCTGAGAACGCCTCCTTCCACAGGGCATTGCTGAGTAGCAGCCGAGAACAGCTGTGAACATGGTCCCAGGGCAGAGGCACTCTGTCCTGCACCCTGGTTTGGTGCTGTCTGTGCATCTAAGCTGCCAAAGCTGGCAGACATTTCTCTGCCCGCATTTGCTGGCCAGGCAGGGCCTCGTAGGTTCCCTCACTTACACCATGGAAGCAGCCATCTCCATTAAGACTAAAGTGGGACAGTTCCACCACTATTCATACACATCCTTGATTCTCACTACTAACTAGATCGCCAAGGCACTTTGAGACCCTTTGGTCCCTGTGACCCCAGGATTTTGATTTGGAACCTAAGGCTAACAAGTGCCATCCTAACCCCACACAAGCACTTTCGATCTCCTCTTCCCAGGTTCTTTTTCAACAGTTTGCCTACTTCGTTATTTGTATTCATGGGCTTCTCCACAAGAGACGGGGCTCCTTCATGGAAAAGGACGAAGAAATTCATCTCCACATCACCCACAGTGCAGAGTGGCACTGGCACAAATTTGAAGCACAGCACATATGTATAAAATTTTGAAAATAAGAAAAACAAAATAAAGACCTACAATGCACATTTGATGGACAGGAGCCTTGTATCCACATATAATAAGAGAAATTACCCTCAAGAAATAAAGAGATCCAGACCAGCAGGGTTCAAGGATGGATTATAAATCAATCCACAAACATTTCCAGAGTCCCCACCCTGTCCAGGTTCTGGGATTGGGATTGGGAGGTTCAGTGTGAGGTGGCATCTGGACCTTAAAGAATGAGTAAAAATCTAGTCCATTTGCAGGCAGATCATATAATGATTCTAAAGTAGTGTTTTGTTTCCATAGGGCCAAGTACTTTTTAATAATTGGGACTCAATTTTTTCTGGCCACGGAGGTCAATTCAATACTCGTGTTCCGATATACTCCTTTGATGGCCGAGACGTGATGACAGATCCTTCTTGGTAAGTGATGGTGGAAGCCCTGGTGGTATATGGTATGACAAACAGCTTTAGGAAACGTCCTGACAATGGGATGCCTTCATCAACCGCCCCTCTGGGATGTTGCCAGCATTAAGGCTCAGTGACGCAGCTGAGGGGCACAGAGAAAACCCAGGCCTTGGAACAAGGAGACCAAGGTCCAGTAGCTCAACGTGAGACCCGGAGCAGGTCTCTTCCACCATCTGAGCCTCAGCTTCCTCACCTATAAAACGGGCAAGATAATCATATACAATAGGATTGTTGTGAGAATAAAATGAATATGCTTGAGGACATCTAGCATGCAGTAGGCACTTAATAAGTGGTAAGTGATGCTACTCCTGGTGATCCTGTACCACTCAGCTGTGAGTTGCACTCTAATTCTTTGAAAGTTATTTATGCTTTTCAGAACAGAGCAACTCGGCAAACCTTTCATGAGTGCCTGCTCAATGCAGGATTCAGTGTCAGGCCCGGAAGGCACAATAATAAACCTGCATGGCTGCTAGCCTTATCCTTACAGGGAAAGACAGACACAGACAAACTACAGTTCTAGGCAGAATACTATAATTATAAAGTGGAGACACAGACAATATGATAGGAGTGCGGAGGAAATATTTGTTCTGACTTGGGGGCAAAGTAGCCCTGGTGGTGCAGTGGTAAGCACTTGACTGCTGACTGAAAGTTGGCACTCCAAACCTAGCAGCTCCTCCGTGGGAGAAGAGACCCAGCAATCTGCTCCTGTAAAGATTACAGCCTAGAAGACCCTATGGGACAGTTCTACTGTGTCCTGTAGGGTCACTATGAGTCGAAATTGACTCGACAGCACACAACAGCAACAGCTTGGGGGCAAGAATCAGAGAAGGCTTCATGCAAGAGGAGGCATTTATTGGGCTTTGAAAGATGAGGAGGACTCACTGGTCTGAAAATGAAAGGCCACTCCAGGCTAAGGGACTTCATGAGCAAACGTTCAGATTCATAACAGCAGGGTATGAAGTCAAAACAACTACAAGCTGGCTATGGTTGGAATATATAGTGTGTTCAAAAAGTTGGTAAGAGCAATGAGGACAGGAGATTGTTTGGGATCATTCCACGGAGGGTTAAGGAGTTTGGCCCTTGATTCCCTAGCTTATGCCAATTCACTCACCAAGATATATCACAAAGAAGTGTCATTTCCAAAAGTAACACAACAAAATTACTTTTTAGGCCCCAGAAGATCATTTGGCATGGCTCCAATGTCCATGGCGTCCGTCTTGTGGATAACTACTGTGAAGCGTGGCGAACCGAGGACATGGCAGTCACGGGATTCGCCTCCCCACTGAGCACGGGGAAGATTCTGGACCAGAAAGCATATAGCTGTGCTAGTAGGCTAATTGTTCTGTGTATTGAAAACAGCTTCATGACAGATGCTAGGAAGTAGTGAATGACCTTCCAATGATTCCTAAACATTTCCCAGTTTTCTGTGTGAAAAGTTGACACTGAAATTTAAAATGTTTAAATGTTGTAAATATTACTGTTTTTTATTACACATTGATCACAAGAGCAACCAAAGAAAACATACCTCAATACACTCAAAACTGAAGACATAAAGGACTCAGATCAAAGACAAAACCTGATTCACATATTGGTGCTAGAATCTGCAGGAAACCCCACGCGGCAGGAAGGGAACACATCCCAACACAGGTTAAGAGCAAGCTGAAAATAAAGGTCATGGCCTTCTGCCCACTGCATCCTTCAGAAAGTGGTTTCCTCCTTTTAGCCATTGTCGTTGAGTGTAAGATGTCCTTCATGTTTTCTTTCCAAGCCAGTGTTCAGAAATGTTACCCCTATGTAAGTTATGTGCAGACTGAATGCTTTATTCTTGAACATACATCCATCGTTTGCATCTGCTGTTCAGAGAAACAGAACTGCTGAAATGATCCTATTTGTATTTTCAGATATTACCAGACTTTAATTTTTTTTTCCTCTAAAATATGATTGCCATCATGCTTTAGGAGTTTTATATTTTTACACAACCATATTTTAGTATGGCAACTGTTTATGTAACTCTGACTTGCTGGAAAAGTTGAAACTCCAAATTATCTGAAACAAGAAAAGAAACAGCACATAATTACTACTTTTCCCTTGCCTCCTGCCCTTCCCCCCGGCCCTGCGATTTTATGACTTTCATTTGGCTACTCTTGAATTACAACTGCAACTTTTACTGACACCAAAAAGGTCCATAGGGATGAATTTTCTGAGAAATGTATATCTTCATGCTGTATCCTTTGATCTTTTTTTCCATGAAAATGACCATAAAAACATCTTTTCCGGGCACTTTCTTCGGGCTGACTTTTTTCACCCCTAGTCCGTTTGTTCTTCACCGCTGAGGCGGAAGCTGACCTGGGTTGTTCCCTGCCGCTTGTGCTAACCACTACGAGTTGCCGTCGAGTCGATTCTGACTTACGGCGACCCTGTGTGTTGCAGAGTAGGGTTTTCATGGCTGTGACTTTTCAAAAGCAGATTGCCAGCCTTTCTTCAGAGGCACCTCTGGGTGGGTTTGAACCTCCAACTTTTCACTTGGGAGCTGCGCGGTTGACTGTGTGCACCAGGGACTCCTTGTCACTTGTGCTAGCCCTCAAGAAATGATCAGAGAATGAGAAGATTTTTCCATCATGCTCATCTGCTCCTACCTGTTGTCTCCCGCCTGGTGAGGGCAATCTAGGGTGGGCAGAAGAGCCCAAGACCGGGAAGCTGGATGAACAGTGGCTCTGCCGCTGTCTCAGTGCGTGACTGTGGACAAGTCTGCCTCTTTCTCTCAAACAGGTTGGGATAAAATAATCATAATATCAACTCTCAGTTATCAAACATCAGACTTATTATATGTCCCATTTACTTTTCATGATAATACTGCAAGGTAGGTATTTTTATCTCCACTTTGCAGATGAAAAAAAATAAAAATAAAGTTGAAATTTGAGAAGTTACTTGTTCCAGGTCACAGGGCTGGTTTCAGACTCTGATGCTGTCTCACTCTAGTACCCAAGATCTTTTCAGGGAACCACGGTTGGAGGCTGCCTATCTGCTCCCTCCTAGCTCCAAGTCTGTGACTCTCTGGCTCTTGGTTTGACCCTGGAGGAGAAACATAATCACCAGGCACGTGGCCTGCTGGGATATTTCCTCCCATTCTGCTGGGCTGGTCCAAAAACTCAACAAAGTGAATTCACCGTAGTAGTCCTTGGAATAGGAAGGAAATTGAAGCGAGAGAAAAAAAAGAGCAGACAGCGCAGAACTTCCACTTAGGGGCTTCCTAAGTAGAAGAGCACTGAGTCTTTCTAATGCGTCACGGAATGGCGTTGGTTATAGGTTGGAAGGCCCCAGAGGTGGATTGTTTGGGACTAGCCTACCCACTGAGTGACTTGAGTTGTGGGGTGCCTGGTATTGGACAGGAACTACAGGGGGCAGGCTAGGAGGCTCGTGGAGTCACGAAGTGAAGATGCAGTCCACCATGGCCCTGGGTCACAGACGGGATAGTGTAGCGGGAGAAGAGGTGAGGGAGATGACCTCCTCCTACCAATGTATCAGGTAGCAGGCACTCTGGGTCCTTCCTGTAACTCAGGGTCCCGGGAAGGCATAGGGAAGGGGACAGTCAGACTATTTAACAGTCACATGGCATATACCCCTGCCAGTCAGAAGGGATCCCACCTGATAGACATTAAATTGTGGCCCCCTCTCTCAGTGAATGGCACCACCACCATCCAGTAGCCCAGGAGTCATTTATTTTTCCATTCATTCATTTACTGAGTGCTTCTTTAGTAATAATAGTAATAATGTTGTTGTTAGTTGCCATTGAGTTGGCCCCAACTCAGGGCGACCCCATATATAACAGAACAAAATGTTACCTGGTCCTGTGCCATCCTCACGATTGTTGGTATGCTCATGTCCATTGTTACAGCCACTATGTATTTTGAGTGCCTTCCAACCTAGGGGGTTCATCAGATAATATTCTGTTGTGATGCATAAGGTTTTCATTGGCTATCGGACCTTTCTTTCTAATAATAATAATAATAATAAGCAACCATAAAATAAGTGCTAGGAAGTTCAACAAAGTCTGGATATTTCCATGATGACTTCTTTGATTTTTTTAAATGTCAAAATCTTTTTAAAATATCTTGGGGCACTCTCGCGTTGTTGTATGTGTTGGTTTTCCTTAGAGGCAAAGAGGCACGAGCTCACACCGCCATGCTGATGTCCCGCTCTCTAGCTTCTCTCCTCCAGTTCATCCTCCACACCGAGAGAGAACCGCACTCAGTGTTTTGGTTTGCGTTCCCCCTGAGATGAGGATTCATTTGCATGTAGCTTGCTTGGGAGATGATCCCAGGAAACACTAGTAGAAGAATGGGGAAGAGAGACAATTAAGGAAAAGCAGGCTTTCCCACTATGGGTAACTAGATTGTACTCTCTGCTTAGGAGCTCTGGGAGCCATTGTACAACAGGCACCTCCAGATTTCCAACCTAAGGGACAAGGGATCTAGGGTGTTTATACACCAATCCCATCAGTCATTGAAAGGGGTGGAGTCTTACATTCCAGTACTTCTGGCCTCCTGTGTATAGGCAGAGGGGGTTCAGGATGCCTGAGAAAGCTCTCAGACAAAGATACAGCAACTGGCAATTGGAAATTGGAGGGGTGCATTGCACATGGGGCTGCCATGAGTCTGAATTGACTGGGTGGCAACTAACAGCACAACATTGCAATAGTTAGGCCTGAGGGAAGGTGGGCAGAGCGTCACAGAGCCAGCTGTATCAGGCTCACATTTTATTTCAAGATAACAATTTCAGCATATATTAATTTCCCTTCCTTCTCAAAATCTTATTGAAATGATAAAAACAAGAAAAGAATCTGCAACACCACTGTTAAATAAGGAAGAACAACATCAACTGAGCCAAAACCCTGAGGGCTTTCTGGAAGATATAAAGCTGGTGTGACTGGATATATTACAACTCTAGCAGAGTTAGGGCCTGCCTGCGAGTCTCTCCTGATGCTGATAGCAACAAGGCTGTGCCAGCAGGGGCTGGAGGCAAAGATAAGCTGGGAACAGCTGGGTGGAAGCTCATAGTGCTGTACCCACATGCTGATAGCACCCAGAGCAGCTATCGATCCTTTTCAATATAGACTTTCATATTTATAAATATCAACAAATTGCAAGCCCCAGCTAGTCATCTGAGGAGATTCAGCAGCTTCAAAAAGAGAACCAGCGTATCAATTGGAGCAAATGGCTGCAATTAAGAAGAATTATTATAGAAAACAGGAGATAATGTTTAAAAAAATCACATTTGTATTTTCAGTGAAATTTCAGAGGGTAAAAGAAACATGACATGGAATGTTCTCATTTTAATGGAATAACAAAGACGAATGGATGGAAGAGAAGTATCAATGAAAAAATGAATAAAAGAAAATTTCCTGAGCTGAAGAAAGGAAGACCTATATCTGTGGAAATGGTTCACTGAATGGTAAGCAGAATCATTGCAGAAGAGCCACTCCAGTCTACAAGAACTACATACAGCCTCATCTACCCTGAGACCAGAAAAGCTAGATGGTATCCAGCTACCACTACTGACAATTATAATCAGGGCCACAATAGATGAACTCTGATAGAATGGGAGAAAAATGTGGAACAGAACCTCAAATTCCTAAAAACAAAAACGAAAAACCCTACTGGACTGGTTGAGACTGGAGGACTCCTTGAGACTATTGCCCTGAGATATTCTTCAAACCTTGAACCAGAACTAACCCCTGAGATCACCTTGAAGCTAAATAACGTACTGGCTCACAAAATAATGACTATCACTTGTGAGTCCTGTGCTACTTTAAAAAACTCACCTAAATTAGACCAAATGGTCAACAATTACATTAAAACAAAGATAAGAATGTAAGGGGCAGGGAAACTAGATAAATGGAAACAGAACAACCAGAACAGAAATAATGAGAATGCTCACGCATTGTGAAGAATGCAACCAATGTCACTGAACAATTTGTGTAGAACTTCTTGAATGGGAACCTAAACTTCTGTGTAAACCTTCACCTAAAACACAATAATATATTCTTAAAAAAAAAAAATCTACCTCAGGATATATCTGGTAAAATTTTAAGGATAATGTAAAAACTCTATAAACTTCAATACAGAAAGAGATTCAGACTGGCAGTGGAGTTTTCATCTGCAACATTTAAAATTAGAAGACAATAGAACAATATATAAATGATGCTGTGGATTAAGAATTATGATATTAAAATTCCACAGCCAGCCACGCTTTCATGTATGAGAACAAATGAGAAGCAGTTTCAGAAATGGCAAGACTGGAAATTATACCATGCATATACCCTTTCTGAGAAACAAACTTTGTGGAAAACTTATAACCAAATAAAAATTAACAGAAAATTGAGACCACATAAAGTAGAAGATATTATAATATACAAGAAATGTTGCGAGCAACAAAGTCAGGAGAAGTTATAATTACATCTAAATCTGTATTTCCCAATGTGTAGTATGTGTACCACATATGGATAGAAAAAGTGGGTTTTTAGGTGGTTTTTATTTTATTTGGCATTTTAGGTGGCTTTTATTTTAAGAGTTATATATTTATTTTAATATGTGTTAGAAAAGTATAGTTACCACATCCAGAATTTCACGTTTATTTTTAGTTAATATGCTAAAGAGAGTATTTAAATTTTAAAAAGTGTGTTGGTGTAAAGAAAAATATTAAATAACCAACCATATAAATGACTTAATTTTGGGAAATGCTAGTCTAAATAGTTGTTGATAATGTGGTTGTAAAATATGTCTCAGATCTTCCCAACTTGTTATGACAAAATAGATTTGTGTGTCTTTTAAAACATAAATTACAAGTCTCAGCCCCTAAAATGTGAAATTAGCACAAAGTTCAGTCTTTTCCTTCCTCAAATATTCTTCAAAATTTCTTCCTTCAAATATTCCAGAGTTGCTTATATTTGCCCAGGAATTAGTTCTACCCTTCGTTTACCTGTGGGTGCCTGCTGTGGAGGGGAACTCAGGCATATCCCTTGTGGCCAGACTCACTTCATTGGTGTCAGCGCTCCGTTGGCAGTGGAGGGCTGGTGTTGCTGAGAACTGTGCAGAAGTCAGGCAGTCTTGAAGAGATGGGCTGTGGCATGATCACCCTGTCCTGTTGTCCTGCCACCTCAACCCCATCTGCCACCGATACAGGTCTCTGTCAATTCTTGCCATGGTGCTTTTTTGGGGTCAGGTCCCCAGCCGCA